GGATCCCACGTACAGACCGGTTCCCGCTCACTGGCTGAGCGAGGCGCGGGAGCAACGCCGAGGGTTGCAATCCCGTTGCCGGTCGCCGGTCCGGTACGGGGGCAACACTGAGGGTTGCGATCCGTTGCCGGACACGGAAAAAGACAAAAAAAAAAAAAATGTTCATGGAAGGATTCGTATTATCTTTTAATTCTATTTTTTCCATGAACAAATGTTTTGAAGTATCCTTGTATATGTACATAATGGAATACTATTCGGCCATTAAATAGAATGAAATCCTTTCATTCACAGCAACATAGCTGAGCACCAAGAATGTTAAGTGAAATAAGTCAGGAACAGAAAGATAGACACCACATGTTCTCACTCATTCGTGGAAGCTAAAAATGTTAATCTCATAGAAGTAGAGAGTAGAATAATAGTTACTAAGAGGTTGGGACAGGTTATGGTGAAGTGGGAAGAGGTATAGGTTGGTTAATGGACACAAAATCACAGCTGTATAAGAGGAACAAGTTCTACTGTCCTACAGCACTGCAGACAGTATATAGTTAACTATAGTTAACAATAATTTATTGTATATTTTCAAATAACTAGAAGAGAGAAATGTTTAATGTTCCCAACACAAAGAAATCATAAATGTTTTAGGTGATGGATATGCTTAATTACCCTGATTTGATCATTACACACTGCATACATTATATTGAAATATCACACTGCACCCCATAAATATGTACAATTATTACATGTCAATTAAAAATTTTAAGAAATTTAAAATAAAAAAGTCGTTAAAGGCTTTTAAACATTTAAAAGATAACAGTAACAACTTTTTATGGTACTTACTATCTACCAGGCACTAAGCACATTACATACATTAATTCATGACTTCCCCAATTTTTATCCCAATGTTACAGAGGAGAAAACTGAGACACAAAGATAAGTTGTTTTGGGTGAGTTGATTTTGAGGCACTTAAAATGCTAATTAAGTTAGTGAATAAATCATATAAATCCAACACCAGGGAAAGCCCCACACTACAATCTCAATCTCAAATACAAAATAATTAAGCAAAAAAGGACTTTTTAATCAGGACTGGAAAAATCTAATTGTACTAAATAAAATTATTACAAAGAAATGTCCAGTTCAGGGGCTGGCCCGTGGCTCACTTGGGAGAGTGTGGTGCTGATAACACCAAGGCCACAGGTTTGGATCTCTATATAAGGATGGCCGGTTAGCTCACTTTCCCAACGTGGTGCTGACACCACCAAGTCAAGGGTTAAGATCCCCTTATCGGTCTTTAAAAAAAATAAAATAAAAGAAGTGTCCAGTTCAACAAGGTTAATTTCAAGATGTGATTCTTTCTTTATGACCAGATCACATCAAATCGTTTACAGCAAATAGTCCTGATAAGGATGTACTTTCTCTGGTTTCCATTCTACATCCACTTTCAAATGATCTGTACTGAGGTAATTTTCAGCCTCTGGTGGTTTTCCTCCCACCTCTGACTGTTCCTTTCTGGTTCTTTCTTTCCCTGCATTTTTGTCCACTCCACACAATCTCCATGGCTCCAAATCTTATCAATAAACTGGTCCCCAATTCAGAACTTCAATCTAGAAATCTCACTGAGCTCCAGATACACCCCGTATACATCTATCAGAAATCATCCCAGGATGTATCATAGGTTCCCTTCCCTCTCTAACTAAACTTAGCCATTGAAAAAATTGACCAGAAAGTTATCTTCTAGTTTTGTGACATCACTATTTTTCTTCAGTATCTATTAATGAGTACACTATACGCTGAGTATCAAAAATGTATAAACTATCAAGAAAAACTTAAAAGGGTTTAATAAATGAAGTACGCTTCTGAAGCAAATGGTTAAACCTCATGATTTCAAAGCTAAAACCATTTTGAATTTCCATGATGTTTTTTCAAATTGCTTACATATTTATGACAACATCTCAATGTCACTATAAGATAATTTTATAAATGAAAAAACAAGGGTACTAAGAATTAAAATGATTTGCCTTTGGTCACAATTATCTAGATATAAAACTAGGAGCAAAATATCTACATACATATTTATATACATGTATCTATTCTTACTCCTGCTTGAATGATGAGTGTAATTAGCCTATTTTAGAGCTTTCTAAGCTGTGCATCTGCCAAGGTATCAATCCCTTCTACTCTCAGGGCAGTCCCCTGGGCCAGAAACCCAGGGACAATTACCACCAGCCACAAGCAGCTTCACGCATTTACCATAGTGTGTCATACAAACGATATTTTTGATGTGCACCAAGAGGAGCAGGTTGGGAAGCACTGCCCTTATGATATCTCATATTATTAATATAGTTATTTAATTTTAAGTGATTTTTATCTTAACTCAAAACTGATAAAAGGAATTTATTCTAAAATTTAACCTAACAACACCCCTTTAATCCCCATTCATAGAATTATATTAATTATTAGAAATAAACAAGCAGTCTGGTCCCATCATGATACACTCTTCACCAGCATGATAGTTAAAACTGAGCAGTATCATATTCTAAACTAAAGGATGTCTTTAGCTCTTCTCAGTTAGCCATCACTATATTCCAAACACCCCAAAGAAGATGGTGGAAACAGTAATTCAGGAGCAGAAATTCCAAAAGCAGTTAAGAATAACAACTGTCTCTTGCGATGTGAAAATAGCATCTGAACTATGTATGACCATGGTTATAAATAAATACATTAAAATATGTTTTAAGTGTCTAGATCAAAGAGCTCTGAACAGCAATTCTCTTCTGGAGGGGGTTTGGGGTGAAAGGTCATGAGAGAAAATTGACTGGTTCCTCCAGTCAGAGATTGTTAACTGCATCTCACCTGGTTTTTATTTGGATTCTCCATGAAGACACACTGCTTCATTATGTAGGAGACAACAGCATTCCCTCCTAATGCAGCAACATGAGCTCTCACAATCGCAAACACTTCAGCAATGAAAGCATGGAGAAAACCACTAACTCCTCCTTCCTAAATAAAAATGCACGAGAAAAATCATTCTATATGTATGTATATAATAGGAATTATACAAAATCTCAAAAAATATATATTAAAACATCCTAAATTATCTTGATATAACAGATGATAATTTAAATTTCCCTCATAATGGGGAGTTATTACATGAATGAATAAACAAACTGAACACATGTCTGGACAGGGATTTACTATCCTTACTTTACAGATGATGAAACTGAAACCCACAGAATTAGTAATTTGCCCATGACCAGCTATTATTACATAGGTAGTAAGTAAATGGCAGAGCAGGAATTCATATCGCACCTCCACCTTCAGCATCTCTATCAAATCCTGTTCATCATCATTCAAATACATTGATAGTAAACAGAAACAACTAAACTTCCCTATTGCCCATATCCACTCCGAACCATATTCGTCACAACTGCCTTTTCTTCAGTTTCTCAAATGTACAAGAACTTTTCCTGTCTCGGGGCACTGCACATGTTGTCCCTGAAGGCTTCTCACTCAGTTTTCCAACACAACTATTACTCAGTCCTTCAGGTCCTAGTTTACATGTAGCTTCTTCAGAGATACCTTCCCTGTCAAATGTTAAGTTCCCACTTTATATTCTCTGACAGCCTCTGTCCAATTTCTTTATACTACTTAGTATCTCTAGTAATTATACATCAGTTACACAATTATCTTTTTAATGTCTACCATGCTCCAGTTCTATCAAACTGTAAACTCCACCAGGTCAGGGACTGCATCTGTTTTGCAGGCAACTATACGATGGTACTTCAAAAAGTTCATGGAAGAATAGAATTAAAAGATAATATGAATCTTTCCATGAACTCTTTGAAGTACCCTCATATGCTAACACCTACTTAAATAGGTACACATAATATTCCATACATATTTGCTAGGGAATAAAATCCAATAGTTCAGAGAACTTTTTCCATGTTCAAAAACAAGCAAAACAGAAACCAAAGGCTAGTCAATAGCTTTAAAATATTTTTCAACCTAAGTTTTCCACAAATACTACTAGGTGTTATTTAGTCTAGGAGGAAATTTCCAACTTTAAACTGGAAGTAAAGGGAAAAACTGAATACACAGTTAGAAAACCATGTTATTAGATAACTCCCTGAAAAGCCAGAAGATCCTGCGTCAGTCTTGTAAAGCTCTCTTTTTGTAATTAAGGAATTAAGGGAGTTGTTTCAGCCGGCCTCTGAGTCAATCATAATTTAGTACAACTTTTCTTTTATTTTTATCAGTTTCCTCCTGCCTATAAAATCAAGAAATTCTGATGAAAGAGTAGCTATAGAGGATTAATTTTTAAAACATTAACTGACTGTAAGAAAATAACTCATCAGGCAATTAATATAACACTTGGAATATTGTGCCCTACAGTTAATATTACAAGTCTCTGTTGAAGAGAAATCTACCAGAATGCAATATTTTGGAGTGGAGTATGGCAGTTTAAGCAGTAGAGAAGGCTTGGAAAATAAAATTTTATGATTCAAAATAGTGCGATACCCATGTGCTACTAAGATCAACTAGAACAGGTTAATTCATAATATATGTCAGTTTCTCACATCTAACCTTCTTTGTCAAACTTAAGTGGACTTAGAAGTGTCACCTATTTTAATTCACTATTAAAAGACTTGGGGAATATCTTGATTAAGATAGTTTATTCTCCCTCTCAACTTAATTAGAATATGATTTTTTAAAATTACTTTTTTAAGATAAACTAACTTATCTTTTAAAAGCATCCATCTAATTAATTAAATAACCTGTCACAAGCCATTCATTCATTTACACAAGAACATATTATGCTTACTCTATGCCAGGCATTGTACTAGGTGAAGGATGATGAGCGTAATATTAAAGATAATATGCAAACTGTTATTTCTAATGAAGTATAGAAATATTACTGGTGAAAGAATGAGAAAAAAGGTACGACTGAGTCATCTCTATAATGAACACACTTTTTAAAAATACAAGCTGCCGCTGAAGTAAAATTTAAAGAGATTATTGGATTTCATAACTCAGTAATTAAAAAATTTCCCTATTCACAATATTAATTTGCTTACCAGCTCTGTTGCATAATATCAGACACAACATAAAAATAATTTTCTTTTTTCTTGAGTTTAAATTCCTGTGTTACAAAAATATAATAGGCTGGCTCTGATACTGAACTTCAACCACATTAAGTAAAACATTACAACTACTGTAATTTAAAAAACAAATTAACATTTAATGATACCTAGTGTGAGGTGAGAATTTGAAGAAATGGCATTTTCATACACTGTTGGAGAGAGTGAAAAATGAGTAGCCTCATTTCTTTTTCAGAGGGAAGAAACAAAAGATCTAAATTATGTATCTATAATACAGCCCCCTGCTATTTCTAAATGTGATCCCTTAAAAATAGCTATTTGACGGGCCGGCCCAGTGGCACACTGGATAGTGCGCCGCTTGGGAAGCGCGGCAGCGCTCCCGTCCGAGGGTTCGGATCCCACATACGGACCGGCTCCCGCTCACTGGCTGAGCGAGGCGCGGGAGCAACGCCCAGGCCTGCGATCCCGTTGCCGGTCCCCGGTCCGGTACGGGGGCAACACTGAGGGGTGCGATCCGTTGCCGGACACGGAAAAAAAAAAAAAAAAATAGCTATTTGACGGGCCGGCCCAGTGGCACACTGGATAGTGCGCCGCTTGGGAAGCGCGGCAGCGCTCCCGTCCGAGGGTTCGGATCCCACATACGGACCGGCTCCCGCTCACTGGCTGAGCGAGGCGCGGGAGCAACGCCCAGGCCTGCGATCCCGTTGCCGGTCCCCGGTCCGGTACGGGGGCAACACTGAGGGGTGCGATCCGTTGCCGGACACGGCAAAAAGACAAAAAAAAAAAAAAAAAAAATAGCTATTTGACTATATCTCAAACAAATAACTACTAAGAAAACTAAGCCGTACTTTCAGGGCTGTTTTAAACCTCTAGCCAAACATAGATAATTTTATTTGTTTTATTTACTATGTGACAAGGACCTAGAATTTCTAACAATAAATGGGTTTACACCTAACACAACTCATGTGATAACACTAGCTGCTATATGAAATTTGGTAATTCTAACTTAGAATCAATCCAGATAGGTTATTAAATTATAAATAAATACACGAAAACACATATATGTCATTTTGGCACAAAATAATTGAAATTTGTTTGGTTTTGTTACTAAATCTTCAATCAGAGAAAATTCAAAAAAAATAATAAAACAACTTCTCTAAAATTACCTCACGAAGAGAAGTGGTTTCCCGGATGAAAAACATATTAATTATCCCAAGATATTTGGTAATTTTTGCTCCAGGAATGAAAGAAAGAGGTGTCATCTTAACAACCCCAACTGTGGAATTTGCACAAGGGGGAGCAGAACGACTTCGGAAATTTCCTTCAGCCATTGGACTTGCTTTTTCAACTGTCACAGCTAAAATTGGAGAAAGAAGAGAAAACATTAAGAACAGACACTGGTAACTCGATTATTCTCTAAGGTTTCCAAATAAGTGGTGACAACATTCAGCTGTCTGTGAGGCGAAGCCATGTCATGAAAGAAAAGAAATTATCATGCACTGCATGCAATTAAAAAAGAGAGAAAGAAAAACAAATGAGAAAATGCTGGAATGGAATTCTTTTGGAAGAAAAATGGCATTCCTGCAAAAGAAAATGTTGATGCAGTGTAGCTAAATACACAATGATCAGTTATAAAGTGAAGAAAAAGAAAAAGCGGCAGAGCATTAAAATTATCTGCTGTAGAAACAAATTATTACAAGGAGAGTGTGAAAGTTGTTATATTTCCCAGTATGGTTTCTTCCATCTTTTTCAGATGACTTCATCACTGTCAACTTGTAGATAAACCTTATGTTAACTAGTTGTAATATACTGCTTTTCCAAACCATTTTGATTAAACAAACTCATAATTTTAAAAACTTATCAAATGACCTTGGCTGTCTAAAAGTTGATTATTTATAAAGTAACAAAGAATAACAGCTACCACTTATTAAATGACTGCTACAAGCCAGACATATGTATTATACTTATAATCCTTGTAACAACCCAGCATCATACATATCATCATCCCCATTTTACACATGAGGAAATTGAGGCTCAGAGAAGTTTAATAACTTGCCCAAGGCTACACAACTGTTAAAACGGCACTTCTAAGATTCAATATCAGATCTGGCTGGTTCCATATCCTATGTTCTTTCCTCTAAAATAGAGTTCCTTCCCTTTTAATGTACTACATATATAAAATCTTTCACTCAAATATATTTACCTCAAGGTCTACAAAAACACAAAGTATGTACAAAGAATATATAAGTAATGATCCTGATTCTCTCAGTAAGATAAGAGTTAACCATTTTCCCTCAAAAAATTCTTCGTTATTTTAGCCTTCTGGATACCAAATCAAGTAAACTGACAGATGCCATATGCTAAATAGTACCTTGGGTCCCGGAAGGGCATCTCTTCAATAAGAGAACTGGTAATGTCCTTCCATCTAAAAGGATACATCTATTTATATACTTTTAAAAAATACCTTCACAAAAAGTTAAATTTTAAAAACACAATTCTATAGTTAAAATTAACAAATCTAAAGGTCCTTCAACTAACTTTTCCTAAATGACCATCAGACTCTGCAGCTTTCACACTCCAATTCGTGATTGATTGGCAATGTTATAACTGAGTAGTAAGGTCTAGCCTTCACCACTGGGAAATCAGGGATATGCTTCTCAGATCATCATAATGTGGTAGAAACATCCGCCTACTTGTCTTAATTGATCCGCGCCTTATGGTCTGAGCTTTCAGTTTAATGAGCTCTATCCAGCTGCTGCATCTGTCTGCAAAGGAACTGTAATCAACTGACGTTGCTGAAAACACAGACAGAAAACAAAAGAAAAAACAAAGAAAAAATATGGATGACGTCTCTTACTCGTCAAAACACTCCTTCCGATGACGTAATTTAACGATAACTTAGAAAAAGAACGATACTTTTCAAGTCAGATAAAGAGAGATAGTAAAGAGTCAAGCTTTAGACACTGATTTGTCCAAAACCAAGTTCTCAGTGAGCTGGCTGAGCATTTTTGGTTAGGGAGAGCATAAGTGGAGTCCAACATAAACATCAAAGAAAGGATCACATACTGTGCTTTAAATAACTTTATTTATTCTTTTTAATTTACAATATTTTAGTTGTTTCTATTTTAGGACTTTAATTTACAATCTACACTTTGTAAATAATTCCCTTCCCGATTTTTACCATAAAATCAAAAATAAAAATAAGAATCAAATGTTGACAAATACATGAAAAAAAAATCACTAGTTGATTTATCTTCTATTAAAATATCTTCTTTCCATCATCAGTAACAGGAAAGCCAAAGGGGCATTTTTGCCAATATTGTTTCCTTGTCTGATTTTTGGCAGCAAAGCCTCTGGTAATACAGGGGAAGGAGCAGATGTGAGCCTAACAAGTTCTCCTTTTAAAAAAGAATAACTTTTACTACTGCTAAGCTAAAAAAAAAAAAAAAAAGTTAAAGAGCTAGCATTTTATTTTTAGAAACTGGGAAACTATTAAAATTCTGAAAAATTAAATATTAGTTTAATTATTATAAGAAAAATGCATTCTAACTAAAATAAAGCCATAGTTTGGTGTCTATTCCATTGTCTAGTGCATTTCTTCAATATCTGTACTTTTATGCACCACCAAACTAGAATTTCATACCCTTGGTGACTATTTGCTTAATTAGACAAACTCACCTCTCTGTGCAGCTGGTATACCTGAGTTAGAACTTGCACTCTCCAGGTGTTCTAATAAGACAATACGAACAACATTAGCTTGGATGCTACGTACAAGCCTGCATCTCTTCTTTGTTGTTTGTTAATACAAGCCACAGGAATAGGAGGAAATCTTTATGGCTTCATTACAAAAGCAAACCAAATAGAAACACTTAGGTTTAAAATGCAGTTTCTATTGATATATGAAAACTAGCTCAGTTAATAAATACCATGCCAAGAAAGGCTACGTGCTTACTAGAATACAAAAAGTTTCAGAAACTGTGTAGTCACAAGAAAATATAAACACAGTAACAAAATGTTAGTAGGATGAAAGCAGGATGTGAGAAGACCAAGCAGAGAAAAGTGTTGGATTCAGTATTTTAAATGAAACATGAAAGAAAAATGTTTGTGGGCAGGAGCCAGCAAGATTAAAAATGAAAGACAAGGTAATGACCTACGCTTCACATATAAAACAAGCTGCTTCAGAGCTATAAGCCTCCTCACCCCCACCTCTTTATTCAACGACTTCACTACAGACAGCTCCCTCTGGTGGTATCCAGACTATGTGGAACTAAAAACTGCCTGATCTCCACAGAAATAACTAGGCATCCCAAACTAGAATAACTCCCTTTCCAGTAATCTCATGAAAGCAGCATCCAGAATTTTCCCTGATATTTTATATGTTTATTACAGATATTTAAAGTATTGTGCAAATTTAAACAGCACCATTAAAAAAACCCTATTTTTAATGTTCATGCTGTAGTCACACTAGCATATTTAAATTTTTATTTCAAAGAATTTTATAGCTGAAAGAACAGTGCAGCCAATTTGTAAATAACTCATGAAAAACAGAATAATTTGGGTCGGTCAGTTTTTTTTTTTTTAACTATAAACTAAGTATACGAGGGTACTTCAAAAAGTTCATGGAAGGATTCCTACTATCTTGCCATACTATTTTTCCACAAACTTTTTGAAGTACCCTTGTATATTTTGATCTCTACTTAATGTACTGATATTTGGGGAATAAAATTAATAAAAGTTAAACTTTTCAAAAATACGATTTGCACAGAAAGTTTCTGCTAATTGGGTGTAATGGAAGTATCCCCCGACTCCTTACCATTTTCATAAAGTGAGTGACCACTAGCTGATACTGGAGAGTGTACAGTAGTTGACATTCCTCTCAGAGCACAGAGCTGATGAATAAAAGGGATCACTACATGGGGTCCACAAGATGCCTGTGAGTGCACCAAGCTATGCACATGCCCTGACCATCAAGCCTGCAGACAGTAGATCTAGACAGAAAGAGTCCTCCTGATTTAGAATCTTGAGGAGCTTTGGAAGTCCGAGAGGAGATGGAACCTATAGGAAGAAGCCCAGAATAGGCTTGACATTCAGAGGCTTACCAGGTCTTTAGGGACAGCTTAGCACAGAAACAAACTCAATGCAGAAACTGGAAAAGCAATTGGCCTATCCCAGGCTTATGTATCCCAGGAGGGTCCCAGGACTCTCATACGTCTTGTGCAGTATAGATTTGGTGGATGTACAATTATAGAAAGTATAGTTGGCATTAGGAATTTTGTGAGATTTTTAAAAATGCAGGTCTGGGGAGGAATAGTTAAAAAAAAATTGAAAATTACTAAAATTAAATTTCCTTCTATTTCTCGATATTGTCTGGGTAATATGGAATTCCTTAGTAGCAACTGTGTATGATTTCATGGAAAATACACACAGAAAGAGCTTACTTAAACACAAGTATCTGTTCCCATCTCTAAGGTACTGGGTGCAAAAATACAAGGTACAAAATGATCTGTAAAATATTTGTGTTCTTAAAAAGGATGACTAGAGGGCCGGCCCGGTGGCGCACTGGATAGTGCGCCGCTTGGGAAGCACGGCGGTGCTCCCGCCCGAGGGTTCGGATCCCACATACAGACCGGTTCCCGCTCACTGGCTGAGCGAGGCGCAGGAGCAACGCCAAGGGTTGCAATCCCGTTGCCAGTCCCGGTCCAGTACGGGGGCGACACTGAGGGTTGCGATCCGTTGCCGGACACGGAAAAAAAAAAAAAAAAAAAAAAAAAAAAAGGATGACTAGAATATCTTTGCCAAGACAAACAATCAGCTCTTAAGAGTAGTTGCCTCTTGGGAAGAAAAATGAAGGGAGAAGGAATCTTTTTTTTGGACTGTAACATTTTTATAGTACATATTCAAATTTCTCATTATGTGCATTTATTCATCCCCCCACCCCCAAATTATAAAGGGTAGGGAAGAGGGGAAAAAGGGAGGCAAAATGTTTATTCCCTGCTCTCAAATATGAATGCATTTGAATTAAAATCTGAAAAAACAAAGTTTATAAGTTGGAGATATTCTTCAGGGAAAGGTTAAGGGAAAATTTTTTGTCTCTCTTAAGGAGAGCAGGTGCATCTTTTAACACATGATCTTGTTTTTTCTCTCAGAGAAAAGGCCCGAGATGAGATGGTCCTGGAAGCAGGTGAACACTGGCACCTCAGAATGGTTTGAATATTCACATATCTAATGTTCTCAGACTCTCAGTTCCTCTGCTCCTTCTGATTACAGTTTGGCTTCTCAAGTAAGAGTCTTTTCAAAATGGAAGGTCAAAAAGCCTGGCTCACAGGCAAACTGGTAATACTGGCAAAAACCTAAAGAACATGCAATCTCTGGGTCAATAATAAATAAAAGACACCAGATTTCATTATTCACATGCAGAAATCTCATTAAAAGTCTTTCAAGCTTTGTTAAGGAGTTAATGCTCAGTCGTGTGCCATTTGTATCCCAATGCGGAAGAGTTTGAAACAAACACTTCTTATGTTAGATCCCCATTCTGGATGCAAAGAGAGTCTCAATCACGCCACACAGCAGTCCCTTCTCTTATGAATTCCTTCCCATTTAATACAAGAAAAAGATTATTTTGCTTTTCTAAAAAAGTCACCTTAAGTAACTGTTATCCCCAAATAAATGACCCTAGAAATTCAGGGAAGCAAATAGGACTAAGATTTTATTTTCTCTTAGTGCATGCTACCAGTATATCACAAGTACTGTGGGGAGGGAAATTAAGCCAAGTGAGAAGTAGTTTAGTGGGAACTAGCAATATTGATGAAAAAAAAAAAAAAAAAGTGGCAAGGATTCTTCTTTTCTCAATTATACATTCTCCAATGCTTCTAAAGTTTATGAAATTTCTCCATTCTCCTAAATAATTTGATATAACAAATGACAAAGGTATTGGTTAGCTATTGCTGTGGCTTGAATGTTTGTCCCCTCTAAAACTAAAGCTGAAATTTAATTGTCATTGTAATGGTATTAAGAGGTGGGACCTTTAAGAGGTGATAGGCCATGAGGGCTCCACCCTCATGGGTAGGATTGGTGCCATTATAAAAGGGTGAGTTTGATCCCCTCTTGCTCTCTCTTTTTGCCCTTCTACCATGTGATAACATAGCAAGAAGGCCCTTGCCAGATGCCAATACCTTGATATTGGACTTCCCAAGCCTCCAGAACTGTAAAGCAGTAACTTTCTGTTTTTTATAAATTACCCAGTCTCAGCTATTATTATAGCAGCAAAAAACTGACCTAAGACAGCTGTAAAAAAATTCAACACTGACCACTAACTCTTTTTAACTAACAATTCACTTTACATTATTAGAATTTACAGATCATCTTTGCTCTGAATAATTAAAAAATATGAGACAATCTTATCTGGACATCTTGAAAAATAACTAAATCTGAAAACATTCCTATAAATTCTGAAAAGATTCTCTGGCAGATTAAAATACATGCGATCTGGAGTCATTAAAATTTATGCTTTATTTTTCTATTTAAACATTCTCAGTTTTAGGTTATTTTATGATCAAAAATTGGGTTTTATGTTCCTTTAGGCATTTCCATCAATCAATAATGCATTGATTAGCAATGCCCTATAAATATAAAATCTGGCTTAATGACTAAGACAAAGGATATGTCTAAACATTCAGTATAAACTTTATCCATAATGGTATTCAAATACTGATGGATTAATAATGAAATTTGATTATACTTATAAATTATTAAAGCATAAAGAAAGATAGAAATAGCTTGGATTTGGATAGCTCACAAGGGAAAAAATCAACTACAACACATAGGTATTACATACATTAGATGACAAAGACAATTAACTTCTTTACTTGGGTCATTTAAGTTCTGCACCTAGAGGTGCAGAACATCCTAAACCATGTATCATTCTTCTTCAGTCCCCTTCTTTCATTTTCCTGTTTCTGTTTCCAGATATCCACTCCTTTTCTTACTCTAATCCTTTGGATCTTCCCTTCCAAATAACCTCTGTTTTCTGTCAGTAACCCAATTCAATTTTTATTTGCTTCTCACTCTTCCTTCCTCTAATTCCAGACTTCACTGTCTTCAAGCTGCCTTGAAGAAGCTAGAGAGGTAAAGATTCTTTATCCCTATGTCTTCATAATCTCTTTCTTTCCTTCCTTCCTTCCTTCCTTCCTTCTTTCCCATTTCTTGGGTGAGTTTCTCACACATTTCCCTCCCTTTACTTATAAAAGGTAACTCTTAGAAAAATAAAGATATAGATTAAGTAAAAATAAAAGATGAAGAACTCCCGATGTGGACATGTAATTATGGAGAACAATGCATTGTGGGTATAAACCAACTTGTTTTCTTTTATATTGAAATCCAGACTTTAACCTATGCTTGCCACATTAGTCAGCAGTTAATGCAATGAAGAAGAGTACTCCTGCCAGCCTACAGCTTATACACTGAACATGAGGAAATCACCCCGGCATAAAGCAAAATGAAAGCAGAAAACGAGGTAGGTATAAAAAAATTTTCTCCTAGGGCCGGCCCGTGGCTCACTCGGGAGAGTGCGGTGCTGATAACACCAAGGCCCCGGGTTCGGATCCCACATAGGGATGGCCGGTTCGCTCACTGGCTGAGTGTGGTGCTGACAACACCAAGTCAAGGGTTAAGATCCCCTTACCGGTCATCTTTTAAGAAAAAAAAAAATTTTCTCCTATACAGTTTCATTTAACAGCATATAGAAACTAAAACTGACCTAATTAACCCTTTTAAAGGCTTTAAACTATCAGTAATTCAATGAAAGCTATTGTCCTATTATAAATTAGATTTATTAAGTATCTGAAATATATTTAAAGTGGTATATGATTCACATACACTTGTCTAATCTAACTTCGTAAGCCCTACAATACAGTAACTAATATCTCAGGATGTAGGTCTTCAGACATTTATCTAAAGGAATATGTTAACCTTTTACAAAAATTACATACATAAAATTCTTAAGATCATTTGCAGTCTATAAGAAAAATCTTACTCATCTTTTACTTTTCACCCAGATTACCTTCACCCACACTCCTCATTTTTACTAGATTTGCTCTCTTTTTCTCTACACATATCATTTTAAAAGTCTCTTGAAAACCAATTCAGAGAAAAACTGAGGTGTGGATATTAATAATGAGAGAAAAAAACATTATGAAAGTGGTATAAAAAGTTTGCTACAGCCATCTTTTTTCTTATAACACAGCTTCATATGAACATAAATTTTTATGTTGATGCCACATCATCTAAATTCCTTACAGTATTCATCAAAGAATTTTGATGACCTTCCCAGGATAATATCCTTTAAGAAATTATTGAAGCTATTTAATAGCTCAGCACCTTTTAATATTTCAAATAAAAAAAATCATGATAACTACCAAGGTAACACCAAATCAACCATAAATTTAGACACACATCAAACTATTTTGTTACTTTGAAGAACAAAACCAAACATAATAAATGATGGAAAGAAAAAATTGAACATGGATGGACAATTCAGGCCCAGGCTCACTCTACACAGTGAATTAGGATACATGTAATTGCAACATCATTTCTTCCCATGACATTCACCCATTTCGATAACACAAAAATATAATGAAAGGTTTATCTACAAGTGAAAAGATGGCAATCTTAATATACTATGCTTAGCTCTTGAAACTACTCTCCCTGTCAACCTATAAGAAAATGAAAAGTTTTAACAAATCATCCTATCTGTGATAAGAACGTGAAATATAAACTAGAATTCAAAGTTGTTGGAACTAAAAAAAGAAAAAACTATCAGCTTAGCTAACCAACTTAATAAAACTATAAAAACTATACACTTATTTACTGGTATTAATAGTTGACTTTTAAGTCTCTGTGGTTACATACAAGAAAGCACACACAGTTTGAGCATTTATTCCTAACATTCTTACCCTTCTCTCTCCTGACTGTTTCCTCTAAATTGCTACCCTTAAATTTTTCCAGACATTTCTAATCTCTATTAAAAGCCTTCCTTCATGTAAAAACACTCACTTATTCCACTCATGTTATAAGACTCTATTACTACATTCTTCAGACCTTTTCAAAACCCATCTTACCCACAAACCTTCCAAATTACGTTGAGATAACTTAAAAATATATTTTGCCCATGTCCTCCTGAAAGTCTTGAGGAAGAATAGACAATAAATGAGCATGCAACATAAACCACAACTTACAAAACTACAAAACTATTTACAAAACAGTAGAGATACACTTTTAAGTGTTTAGTGATGATTTTAAAGTGTAACATTCAAGGAGAAGTACATAAGTCTTGCAGTTAAGCACACAGTGTAAAAAGTTTTACATATATTAGTGTTAGATGTGATGATACTGATAATGATGATGATGATGATAAAGGTGGCATGATCTGACTCAGTGGTTTTCAAACCTTTTGAAACCCTTTCTTCAAATACAATCGTATATAGAAGACCAATACATAAAAGCACACTGAATCGAAACAGATTAAGTTTAGAGGTAGGGGATCCGGAGACCTATCCTCTCACTCCCCACCCTTTTCTACTCCCTCCTACCCTGCATCCTGGAAGGCCATGAGGCACCTGTGGAAAAACCCCTATGGTTTGGAGTAGAGCAGAGTTTAAAAATTATTGATTTAGTTGATTAGAAGCTATTTGTAAACATTTCATTTAACTTAATTACCCTCAGTCACTAATTTAGATTTGATCTACTTTTTAAATTATATGAATATGTTAACTGAAGAATCATAAACTACAGAAACCCAAGGAATCACAGAATTTTAAAGGTTAGAAAGAATCTTAACCTTTCACGTTTTACACATGAGGAACTGAGGCTTAGAGAGGTTTAGTAATTGGCCCAAGTTCTCACACCTTATCAGTGTGAGAAGAGAACCCAAGTCTGTTACTTTTTTACTCCACCTGATGGCCCCTCTCCATGCTCCCTAAAATTAGTCACAAATATTTTAGGTCTTGTTCAAATATGATTTATTCTACTCAAATTCTTCTTTCCTTGTTCTTTAGTTCATAAAGTATCATTTTTCACAAAAATATACTAATGACCACATAAGCACTAGTTATAATTTATAATTACCTTTGAAAAACTGAAAGCTACTGCAGAAGCTGTAAGTTATCAGTGTAAATAAGGCAAACCAGCAGCCTAAATCTAATCTTCCTCAGAGTTCAGTAGGTAATAACACTATAAATCAAGCTAATAGGGACCCCCACATCTACAAATCTATTCCTATAGATTATATATTTATAGTCCTATATATATATTCCTATAGGTTAGCAATTGACAAAATCTTTTTTGGTTGATTAGGTTTTTGGGGTTTTTAGGCCCCCATTGCAAGGTAAGGATAAATGAAATGGTCCCTAAAAGTGATTTGGAACTAAGCCTGCATAAATGACCAGTTTCTGTATAATGTAGGTGTTTTAAAAGAAAACACTTGCTATCTAGTGAGTTCAAGAAACATTCTTTTTTTTTTTTTTTTTTTTTTTTTTTTCATGACTGGTAAGGGGATCGCAACCCTTGGCTTGGCGTCGCCTGCACCGCGCTCAGCCAGTGAGCGTACCCACCATTCCTATATAGGATCCGAACCCGCGGCGGGAGCGTTGCTGCACTCCCAGCGCCGCACTCTCCCAAGTACACCACGGGGTCGACCCTTTATTGGGGTTAAAGAATTTCTTCATAGGGCCGACCCCCTTACTGGTCACGAAAAAGACAAAAAAAAAAAAGAAACATTCTTGAGAGTTCTGCTTTCAGTTCTGGAAGCCATATTTAATTCATAAATCTGAACTCAGATCACCTTTGAATTTGGTTTTTCCTCTCTGTTTTTCAAGGAAGTTAAGGTATGTTAAAATTCTCTATGGAGTTCTAAATTAGAATTTTAGGAGATGACAAAAAGGAAAGGGGACCATAGTCACCGTGTTAGAAAGTTCAGTATCTGAAAGGAGCTTTTCTTTTCATCTTCAAACTATGAGACAAGATCTACTTATCTACACAGATAGGCCCTGCACTGATTTAGTAAAGATTCTATATAAAACTATTCTGTATTATACATAATTTGGTACCAGATAAAATAATTAACAAGTAGGAGTCATGAAATAATTTCACTTATATTACAAAATATTAAAATTAGAACAGCTGACTTGATTTTAAATAACGAACATATCATTTCTCAGAATAAAAAATTTAGGAAAAAAACATTCATCAAATATGTAATACTATAAAATAAGGTACAGTGATTTTGAAAATTTTTATAATAAAAACTACACTGAAATCAGAAAAGAAATGGAAAAAATACCTTTCAATTTTCTCTGAAGATTGTACAGATCAAAAATAGATATACTGCTATTAAATTAAGGGGCAACCATTTTGCACTGGAAAAAACTGGCAGTATCTTATAAGTACATAACAACGTTGTTCAATTAAAGGCAAGGCACACAAAAGATAGGAAGCTCATCTCTTTTTTCCTTGTACTATCTCCACTCAAAACCTCTCCACATATCATCTGAAGAAAACAAGCGTTCTGCTATCTATAAAAATACAAACATTTTTGTAAAGGCTTGGTTGTTGCTTGAAATATAATTTACCAAATATAATATAAATACCAAATATACTATGTGTAAATAGTTATGCTGGGAAGTCCAAATATCTGAAAATAACACTTTAATACATTTGAGGTATGAGAATGGAATATCATATGAAAAATTACCTTAAAAATTTATAGTAAAGTTACTTGAGAAATTAAAATAAGAGGAACACTACTTTCTCCCCTTTATGAACGTGAAGAAACATACAGTGAGAGAATGAAGAACAAATCTTCTTCTCGAGATTAAGTAAGATTCTCTATAATGAAGAAGCAAGTGAAAGAAACTAGAAACTATGATTTGTGTTTGCATTTCCCTTACTTAACCAACCTTTAGCTGGTGGAAAAGGATGAGAAGGAAGTGAATCTGAACAGAGTTCCAGTGGAAACTGCAAAAGTTCTTCATTATCTGTAGAGGCTTGAGAGGCAAGAAAAACACCAGTTATTTAGTAATAATTTATTACTAACATTTTAAAAATTAATAATCTGTAACATACACACATATAATATAGTCATGTGTCACTTAATGACAGAGATATGTTTTAAGAAATGTGTCGTTAGGCAATTTTGTTGTTGTGCAAACATCAGATTGTAGGTACACAAATCTAGGTGGTATAGCCTACTACACACCGAGGCTGTATAGTATCACTGTTATAATCTTATGTGACCACCGTTGTATATGCGGTCCATCACTGACCAAAATGTCATTATATGGCACATGACTGTATTTGAGTATGTGTATATATATATATGTATGTATTTTTTCCCACCCTCACCTCTACCCCAATTTATTCTGGTTATTTTGTCTTTGGTTTCTCCCATGGGGACCCTTCATCTGCATGATGTTAAGAGTGGTGCTACCTTCCCTGGTTTTGAGACTTTAGAAGATTAATACCTGTAAATCATTTACCACAGTGCCTTGCAAATAATAAGCACTCAATAGTAATTATTATTATCGTAAACTTTGTACCTACTGGTTTCTATGATACTGAAACCAGTTAATATCTATCTTGTTTGATAAATATCTGAACACATACTGTTTAGTACACCTGTCTATCTGACATTAAGTCAATGCTCAAATTTTATCAATGTCATATATGTGGCATATCATCAACTTTTAAAAAGTTTAAACTAATCATGAACATGTTATTTAGCCAATAAGTCATTTAAACTTTGGAAAGTACTATATCCCCCCTCCTGTTTTTTTCAGAACACATAAATAGTTTCTAATAATTTAGGTTTCTTTGAAATATACTAAGAATGGTACTTCCCAAATTGTACTGGATTAAGGACACCTCTGAGAATCTGTTGAATACTATGATACTTTTCCTGAGAAAAATATGTAGGCAAAAATTTTGCTTACTACATCAATAATTCTCAGATGCCTTGAAGACTTCACCAGAGATCTTAGGATAGGAACCCCTAAATTACTACAGAATTAATATACTATAATCTAAGTCTAAAAAACAGCATTCCCTAATGTAAATACCAGTCAACCATCTACTAGTCATGTGTGAAAAATATCAAATCAGCCATATGCTTATCCATACAGTTATTTGATAAAGATGAACAGAAAAAGTGGTAAATACCTTGTCAAGAAACAAGTCATTTATTTAATGTACCTGTCCACTATATTTTATCACTGAGCTATAATGCAAACAAACACAAACTATACTTCCTATCCATCAAAGGCTTACCTCTTTGCAATGACTTTTCAACATGTGTTTTTGTGGTTTGTAAAGCCTGATTTTTGTCAAAAGTTATTGCAACAGCTGTGACTGTAACCTAGAATAACAGAAACAATATAATTAGCAAAATAACCATTGTGAAATTAAGGTTTTTACAAATCTTTTTCAGTACCATGGAACAACCTATACCAACTGGCTAATTTGCCTCTCCTGGTTAAGATCCTCAACCAGAATTATATGTAAACTCAGGTGTTCAAACCACAAATATGCCCAACATGTATACCTAAATCTAGATATTCCAGAAAGAGCTCAAGAACATTCTCTAAAAGACGGGAAGGTAGATGAAATCCTACCTGATGAGTACACATCCTATTGTATATATGCTGGAATACACATGATTCCACCTTCAGATAACCAGAGTTCAGAAAAATGAAATACATGTGGTCTGATTCATACTAATATATGTTTTAAAATATTCTGAGGTAAAACAGTGTGTGCTTAAGTTATTTAATTATGGCAAAATTATACTACCCAAAATGATCAGATAAAAGCTAGAAATCTTCTTTGATAATAGGCTTAATCTTAATTACCTGAATTAATTCATCTTCAGGCAGAGATACCGTAAAATTTACGTGGCAAAGGCAGCAGGGGATCATAGATCGTAGTTTAAAATACAGGCTCTACACATAGAAAATATTAGTAATGTCACTTTTTTTTATTTAAAAATTTATAAAAGCTGGTTTTCTTAATGCACATTATATTATGGCAAATGAAAAGTTAAAAAGATTAAAGCAAAACTAGTCCACTTCTGTTTTGTCTATTCTTACATTAAGAATACATTTTTAATATTTAAGCAGATAATAAGATTTAATCCTATTTGTCAATAAGACATAGAAAATAAAATAAGAAATAGTTTTAAATTTACACATATACACTGGATTTTTATGAAATTTAAAGCTATTAACTAACTTAAACTATAGCTTATTATAGTACACTATATCAAGAGGGAGAAGACGTCAGCATCTCACCTGATGACAGAGGTAAAATTGATAGGTAAATAAAAGTAATTCAGCCCACACCACAACTGTGTAAGGTATTACAGACAATTCAGACAATACACTTTTTAAAATTTTACGACTCTTAGGAGATTAAAATACAATTTAGTCAGTCTGAAGGTTCCTACCTTGAGCAAATTTTCACAGAGATCATTAAAGTTCTTATTGAGAGCTTGATTAGTCAGGTTCAGGCTGCTTAATCTGATTACTCTTACTGAAGTGAACATCTAAGTGTAGGGTGATATAACAACATGTCATTTTGTTATTTTTAACTAAATACTGTAAAGAGCTGATAAAATTGCCAAATAATTGAACAATAATAATTAATGTGGTCTCAAATAGGATAGCATTTTAATTGTAATAAGGAAGTAAAAAAAAAAGATATTTTAAATGGAACATATTAAAATAACATGTGGTATTTGCTTAAAATTGAGAATAAAAGGTTTACCTGTATTTCAGATGTCCAATTATTTATACCAGGCATAATTTCTGTATTACAACTATAAAATCCTGTCAAAATAAATTATAATTAAAATATATGATAATATTTCATCTATTTTTGTGTTAAAGAATAACATTTTTCATTTATTACATGAAGTCTGAACTGTAAAACCCTTCATCCTTTTTCCCTTTTCTTTTGTTTTTTCCTTTTTTGCTGGCTGGTACAGGGATTGAATCCCAAACGCCTAATTCTTTTTCCTAAACTCCATACCTTCAGGAAACTTTAAACCATCCCAATAAATTATCATCATTTTTTTTCATATATAAGCATAAATAAAGGGTTAAAAATCAGTTCCACCTCAGTCCTAATCTATTTTAAAATTATGTATTTTCAGCCATGGAGCAGCAAAGTGATGCTTATGACAGCATGTGATGCTGTAATAAGGTGTTTAAAATAAGGTTAGTACTATAACAATTACAAACTAAATTACTGTATGTAAAACTAGGTTCATCTCCGGTTAATTTTTCTCTGTTCACCTGAAGGAGGAGGGACGTCAGTGAGCAGAGAATGCACATCTTCCATGGCATCTGTGTCATCGATCTGAAAATTAAAAGATTAAAACTATTATAGAAGTAATAAATGTATAATTAATTCAAATTTTTGAAAATGAGTTTTAACTTTTACCAAATAAAAAACATAAGAGTCAAGAAAAAGTAGAGCCATTTTTCCCTAAGTGAAAATGTAAAATGTGAAAAAAAAATTCTAATACCAGTAAATTTCTCTGTAGTACTAATTCCAAATAATTCTAAGTGTATTATTTTACATATTAAAATACACTGAGTTTAAAAGAAAAATAAATCTAGCCTCTTCTCAAGCCTTTACTGAGAGCATGTTTCAAAAGACTTGCAAAGATACCATGAGCAATCTTCATCCCAATCTGTTTAAATTAATAAAGATTAAAAAAAAAATCTTTTGACTAATTACAGAACTGCTTAACAATGGATAAACACATATCTACAATAAGTCTAAACCTATTTTTGTTACATCACAATATTCCACTGTGAATAGTAAATAGGGAAAACATGCAGCTGGACATATAGTGACATTCATCTGTACAGCGGGTATCTCCAACTACAAACCCCTCTTTGTCCCTTCTCTTCTGAATCTGCCCCTTTCCCTCAGTCCTCCGCCCACATTTGAAACACTTCTGTTCTTACGTGCCTCCCCACTTATCCAGGATCCCTGGATCAGACCTACCAATAACGATCTAGATCAAACGTCAGGTATTCCTTGGCATCACCTAGAGAGTTTGTTTGATAAATTGCTGGGCCCCACTTTGAAATTCCCATTTACTAAGTCTGAGATAGGGGCCCCAAAATCTGCATTTCTCACAAGTTCCCAGGTAGTGCTGATGCTTCAAGTAGTCACAGCAAATTCTGAGTAGCACTGCTTTATATAGTACCCTGGAACCTTTTACATCTTCTTGACCTAACATATTCTTCTACTTAGCTCCATTTTTTCCTATTCTCAGACTGTAGAGAAATGTAAGAAAAAGGAAAAAACAAAGAAACAAACAAAAATCCCAACCATACAATTTGGGTTTTCTACAAATTAACACTCTCAACTCAGTTATGCCTTGTGCATTTCTCATGGTTGACATCTTCATCACAGTGACTGGCACTGTTCCAGACTCTTCAAACCTCCAATCCCATCCAAACACAATTCTACCACTCTGCTTCACTGAGTTCAAACCATCTGATTTCTTCTCTCTCAGCTCGCACTCTACTACATTTCTGAGCATCCTGATTTATTTTCTTTCCTTCTATATCAAAGGAAGATCTTTTATCTCTTTCAAAGCTAACCTTTCTACAGGTGAGGGGAGGGGACGCAGATCTGTGACAGAGGAGGCTCCATAAGCCTTTCGTGCCACATTTATTCACTAGAAAAATTACTAACACGTTGAGTATCTTACTATAAAGAAAGATCAATGATAACTTCTGAATTCACCAAGAAAACACTATACTCAGAATTCCCAGTGATTATATTATTATATATTACATGCAAAAATGTTATAATTACATAGTAACAAAATATAAAGCAGATAATAATTATAGTAAGCTAAGGTATAACACTTTAATTTCTTATTTAAAGTCATTCAAGTATACAAAAATAACTACACAGGGTTAATACTATTTTAATATTATTTGAACCAATACATTGTTTCAGAAACATCTGCATTATTCTATCAGTCTTCTGGTGCTGAACAAAAAATGTATTACCAAATTCTGATATTTTCAAGTTGTTATAATTTCTATTAATTTTTTTTTATATTTGTAGCAGTTGTAATGACATAAAAGTATCTCATCAATTTAGGATGTGACTGTAAAATGCATCTTATCTTCCAAAATCTTTAAGAAATTAGTCTCTTGCAATATTACCTCCAAAACAAAAGCATCTTTTTTCCCATGTGAAAGGTCTAATTCTGTAACTTCATCAGAGCTTTCTGACTGAGATCTTAAAAGTCTTGAGCGTTGTCTAGGTTCTGGGATGGGTGATCCTATAATTTCTTCAGAGATCTCCTAAAAGAAATATTTGCTTTAAATCATAAGACTCTCTTTTTCAGTTTGGTTTTACATTTTTATACTAATAGACAACTACCTATGGAGATAAAAGTCTGTAAAATTTGTTCAATGAAATCTGTACTTAAGTATAATCTTTATGACTAATTTTTTATAGAGGATATGGTATTTCCTTTTACCCGTAATAGCAATCTTATTGGTAGACTAATCCAGAAACATATACATAACTGTCAACAGACAGAACAAGACAAAATTGACATCTGATATACAGAGAGGATAATACAATGAGTATGGAATTGGCAGTACCTTACATTATTGTATCAATTATCTGATACCATGGCCAGTTCAAAAACCCAGCACTCCTGGCTATGTGTATTTTCTATGCAACATTTAAAAGTCCTAATAGGCCATTAAAGACTTAAGTCTCCAGATAGGATTCTAATCTTTTATATCTTTTCTAGTCCAGTGGTAATTTTTCAAAGCTCCACATATAAAATGTGGAGTGTGATAAATGTATGCCTATATGTATATGAATAAAGACACTATGCATGTGGGGACTTCTGGTCAAGAAGGTGGAATAGACAGTCCCCAGCATCACTCTCTCCCACAAATCAACCAATTTACAACTATAAGAAAACAATGACAACTAAGCTAGGGCTGCTAGAGCTCAGGGGAAGAGCTCATAGGAGAGACCTATGGAGGTATGAAAGTGGGAGAAACCACAATAAGAGTAAGAAAAAAACCACTCCGACCATTTCGAATCTCGGCCGTTTCCAGGCTGGAGCTGCTGAGCGCATGGAGCTGGCAAAAGCCACAGCTGCGCCCTTCGGATGGAGTTGCTTGGAGGTGGCAGGAGAGAAGAGGACCTTGTTGGCCCCCAGGCCAGCAAGACCACTAACAGGGTTCCTGTGGTCCCACATAGGAGCAAGGAGCCACAACAACTGAAAAAAAGCAGCTACTCAGAGGCTGGTGAGTCATTGCAAGCAACCGGCATATGGCCTGTCCCATGGGAACTGTTTGGAGCACGGGCAGTGGGGGAGATGGGCCCACTGCAGGACAGGAGCACAGCAATGAGAGCTGATCTGCTCCCCAATCAGCACAAGACCACTCAGAGGAGACTGGTCAGGAGTATAGAACTGAATGGGGTGCAGTTTGATGAAAAGACTGAGGCCCAGACCAGAATTTCTAGCAATCCAGGTGTACCAGACCTCATGAGAGCTGGAAGTACCTATAAAGTCAACCATTAAAACCTGAGCTGCACAAAAAGCCTTCCCTAGGAAATCAGCAGCAAAGCAGCAATTTAGCTCAACCACAGAGCTCAAGTACTGTTCCCCACAGAAAGTCCCCCCATTTTAGAAGTAAGCAAAGGACAACAAATTAGTTAAAGTGCAGTTTAAGTGGTGGCAACAGCAAATAATACAACACAGAACTGAAAGAAAAAACAAAGTACCCAAAACCAAAGTTTGATATTAACTAGTAAAGATCTCATTTCACCAAAGAACACCTGTAACACTTAGAAGAACTGGAAGTCCCCTGGGCTACCAAGCCAGAAAGGGTGGAGGGCCAGGGGCCTCAGCCATGCCCCCCAACACCCGCAACCAGTCCAGGGTGAGTGCTCAGGGCTTCAGCCATACCCCCCCAACACACGCAACCAGCCCTGCGATGACCACTGAGACACAGCAAGAAGGTCCCTGGGTTCCCAAGCTGGGGTGGTGGGAGGCGAGGGCTTTTGCCACACACCCCTGACATCTGCACCCAGCCTGGCAATGACCAAGCCACCACTTGAAGCCCCCGGTCTCTCCTGTGAGAATAAGGAGGGTGCCACAGGCCTCAATCCCTCCCTCTTCCTTTCTCCTTCTTCCATCACATTTCCTTCCCCTTTCCTCTCTCCCCCTCCCTCCCAACTGTTCCACAACATCATACAATGTAAAAAAAATAATAATAATAAAATTATAAATAAATATACTATGCATGTAATTGCTGTGCAGCTTATTAAGCTAAATAAACTTTGGTCATTACAATAATGCTCTGTTTAAGGTCAGTGTATGGTGTAAGCCCATATGGGTTACTGAACTTTTCCCTACTATATAGCTAAAGATCATTGATAACTAGAGGTTCTAAATACCTGTTGGCCACAAGGAGTACCGGAAGAATGTGAATACGTGAGCACAAATGCAAAAAGCATAGCCTATTGTTGGTGTAACAGTTATCTTTTTAAAAAATATGGAAATTACAAGTAAAAGTCTTTGAAAAATATAGTTTTAAGTGACCACTGCTAGTCCATACCTTATATAAAAGATTATATATAATCTGCACAATTTCATAACATAGCAAGATCTATGGAGCATTTTCACATCCATTTATCTTATTTGCACTCCAAATTAACTTGCTCTACATATTTTGACAGGGTGCATAATATAATGACTACAAAATAAGTGCGAGCTGCAATTCAAAGCAAAGTAGTGTTGCCTAGATTTGAAAACTAGTAAGTGTGGAACCTGTCTAGGTCAGTTCTTTTGTTCTTATGTTCTCTTATGTTCTTCCCACTAGACATCACACTTCTTTTTATGATGTTATCGTAGTTTCAAATTCGGCAATGACTCTGTTCAGTATATTGTGGACTAATAAACGTAACTGTCTGGTATTTAATATACTTTAGATTCATAATGAGGTTTTATCACTAGTACTGTTATTCAAAAAGATTTGCATCTTATTTTGATATCTTTGATTATCTCCACACAATTCAATTAAGTGGTACTACACTTCTGCAGTGTACTGAGAAAAAAATCAAACAGGATTCACATCAGCTAGGGCTATCTTCCTAAGATAAGGAATACACTGATCCACATTTTCAGGGTAGGCATACATTGCTTTATAAAACTGAAAACACAAAACTCCAATGTGTGTAGAGGCCTAGGAAGCACTGACTTTATCAAACAAATTCTGAGATGTTATGCTAAAGATGGTAATGTAGTAGGTATTTGAAATAAGGAAAGACATATTAGAAGACTCATAAATTGATGAGTCCTTTTGTGGAAATTCAGTCATCCTCAACACATGAAATCCATATACGCTAAAATTTTTTAAATCATAATAAATTTACTCCCTCTTCCAAAATGTAAACTGTGTGACACGTAGTAGCAGCTCAATAAGTATTGAATGAATAAAGTAATTAATTCATTCTTATTTAAATACATCCCTTTCTTAAAGGAACTTACATTTTAGTAAAGGAAGACAAACATGTAAAAACTAAGCATAATAACATTTAACAGGAACTATTACTGTAATACATACAGGTACAACAGGAACACAATGAAGGAAAAGTCACTTTTTCCTGTGGGAGGTCAGGACAAATTTACAGATGTGATAAACACTATTAAGTAAAAGAATTCAGCTCGTATCATTAGAACTGATAAATGAAGTATAACATGTAGCTTTACAAACCATTCTCCCCGGCTGGCATAAACATTTTGAAATATCAAAACAAATTCTGAGATGTTCAAATATCAAAATATAATAATAAAAAAATGTACTACAAACAAGTGGTCAGTAAAGTGATGTACAGAGAGCTTTGATAAAATTCCTTTCTCAAGTATTAATATATTAACACACCAACATTTTTATTCGATTTAAAGAAGCCTAAGTCGGTGCTGTTCAATAGAAATATAAGGCAAGCCACATAGGTAATAATGAAAAGTAACAGATGAAATCAACTTTAATAAAATATTTCATCTAACTCATTATCCAAAATATTAAATTTTCAACAATAGTCATGAAAGCTACAAATAATCATGAGAGCTGGCCGGTTAGCTCATTTGGTTAGAGTGCAGTGTTGATAACACCAAGATCAAGGGTTTAGATCCCCATACCAACCAGCTGCCAAAAATTTGAAGAAAAAAAAATTCATGAGATATTTTATATTCTTTTTCATACTAAGTCTTCAAAATCCAGTGTATGTTTACCCTTATAGCACACCTCGATTCAGACTAGCCACACATCAAGTGCTTAACAGCCACATGTGGCCAGTAGCTACCACAATGAACAATGCAGCTCCATGTCACAGCCTTAAAATTCCTCTCTGCTTAAGAACTTTGCTACAATAATATAATAAAAGCTATAGGTCTGATGCAAGAATTCAGATGCACTGTTCCAGAAGACCAGGCAAAATTAGATTATATACATATAAATAAAAATAAAAACAACAATAATGTTATTCAAACACTTTCCTTTTGTGAAAGTATTTCATTATCAGAGACTCATAAAAACAAATGGTTTCATTCTTTTTTTTTTTTTTAAATGATGACCGGTAAGGGGATACTAACCCTTGACATGGTGTTGTCAGAACCACACTCACCCAGTGAGCCAACTGGCCATCCCTATATGGGATCCAAACCTGTGGCCTTGGTAGTGTCAGCACCACACTCTCCCGAGTGAGCCACGGGCCAGCCCCAAATGGTTTCATTCTAACTTCAACAAATCTTTCTTTCAACTCTGACTATGGCTATAAGGCATCCAAAGAGTAGGAAGCATTTTGTGATACCCACGGCAAACTTGGTAAGAAGATTGACTATGGAGATGACTGGTAGAAAAAAATGTAAGAAAGAAGCTCTAACTGAAAAACTGTATTCTTCCACAGATGTAGACATTTACATTTTCTTTCTTATTACTAAAAAAGAGCACTTTAAACCACACATTTCATCATTCAACAAGTATTTATTGAGAGGATACTACTACTATGAGGAACCTTTCTAGGCATTAGGAATACAGCCCTGATGGAGCTTCATTCTGTTGGTAGTAATAGGCAATAGACAAAAATAAAAGACATATCTCTATATCTCTATGTATGCACACACACACACACACACACACACACACACACACACACACACACATATACAAATAAGAGTTAGAGAAAACAATAAAAGAGAGAAGGGTGATAGAAATTACCAGAAATGGATAGGAGAATTGCAATTTTTAAATAGGATGGTCAGAGTAGGCCTCCCCAGAAAGGAGACATTTGATCAGACATAAAGGACGGTGAACAAATGAGTCATAAGAAAAACTAATCTAAACAGTGAAAAGAAATCTTTTACATTCAAAATAAGAGAACCTAAAAATATACTAATATCTAAATAATAACTGACACATTCACAATATAGATTCATTTTACTTACTGGAGGATTGATTTCATATAACTCTTTGTTCTTAGCAATTGTGTCATTTATCTTCTTTTGCATATGAGAGATATGCTGTTCATATGAGCCATCATTAGGAGTCTTCCCAGCAATCTGAATACCACCAGGAGTTGGTAAAGCTGCTAAATATACACCTGTGGCAGACTTTTAAAAATAATGGAAAAAGAATTAGAAAAAATATCTACAGAATAACGGTCCTTAAGTCTTCATACTTAGGAATGTGGTCTTTGCCCTGCTGGAAAAAAATAATAAGCATCAGTGTATGCAGGGGACATCTGCAGAAGGGCATGCAAAAACATAACTGGTAACAGGGGTTGGTTTCTTCTGGAGAGGACCCTGGATAAGTGGGGGATAGTTACGAAAGGGGGATTTACTTTTCACTGCATACCCAACTGTACTTTTTACGTTTTTATCTTACAATTAAAAAAAAATACAATTACAATCTTAAAAAACAGTTTAGCAAAATTAAAAGTTGCTAAAAAATAAATTTTTCATGAATTAGTAGACATCTACCTTTAACAGTGACAAAAGTAAAAGGGAAACTTTTCTAAGGCAAATGAAGAAACTAAGTTCAGAAAGGATAGGGAACTTAGTCAAGACCACAGTTAATAAATGTGGAGAAGAGATCTGAATCTAAGTGTTTCTTACTCCAAAAGCCAAGAACTTTTCACTATAATCACCTCATCTCCATAATTACCTAGAAAAAAGTTTTTTTACTTGATACAGATTTGTTTTAAATATTTAATTGAATTACTATTAATATCTGAATCTGTAACAGTACCACATATCATTAGAACTGGAAAACTATTTTGGGAAATACAAAAAAAGATAAAATTTATAGCTGTGTGCATTTATGTTTAAATATTTTAATACAAGCAAAGCAAAAAATATATACAAGTATAAACATCAAAGGGGTGGAATGAAAAAGAGAGAAGACAATTCTTTTAACTTCAGATATCTGTGTATTTTGAATTGTTATTATTTTTTAAATTCATTTAAAAATTTTGTGAAAGTCCATCCTAAAAACTATATGATACTCTATAATGAAGTCTGCGCAATAGATGAAAGTGATGCTCAGGAGCGCTCTTCTCCTGGTTTGCTCATTAGTGTTTGTCACTACACCCATGACCCAATCTCCCTCCCCCAGCCATATGAAGGCTTAGCATACCATCTTCAACACTTTCTTAGCTCCATTCATTAATAAGGCAACAGCCATGAATGGTTGAGAACACAGACTCTGGAACCAGATAGGCCTTGGTTGGAAATCCAGTTCCAACACATGTAACCATATCACTTTGGAGTCTCAACTTATCACAGCATCCAATTTCTCCTCTTGAAAAGTAAAGATAATATTACATTCCTGCTAAAGTAGCACAGTGACACCTAGTAGGCACTCATCAGAGATTAGCTGTCACAGAAGTGGTGACTCCTGAGACCTTGAGATTTAAGAGTACAAACTATAGCATAGCACAAAGTCCAAAACATTCAACAGTTGTAATTAATATCGCTAGTGATCAGGAAGGAAAAGATCAGTATGAATCAGAAAAGCAATAGGAGGGTACTTCAAAAAGTTCCTGGGAAAACAGAATTAAAAGATAATACGAATCTTTCCATAAACTTTTTGAAGTACCTTCATGTTTAAGGCAGGCCTTGAATTAATAGTGTTAGGAACTAGTTTCTTGGGGCTCAACCACCAGAAACATTTGGTATAGTTAGCAAAATGTTTTTTAAGCCTTTGAATTTGAATCCAGCTCTCAGTACCCATAGGAACTCACCACTCACTAAAGTCTTGTATTCAGCCCAAATTATACATTTATGTTATCCCCTTGCTAAGCATGAAAATTTTTAGACCACTTAATTAAAATGAACACTTCTCCCTCAAGTTAATCTAAGTGTCAAATACTTTAAACCAGATTACTTTCATTAATTATTACAAATTTCTCGTTAAAAAATTGTTATTCCTAATCAGCTTACCATCATCACAATTATCCCCTACATACAGAAATTTACATATTTGCTCCTATAGAAAGAACAGATATAGCAGGAAACAATATTGCATTATACCTTCAAAAGTATACTGAGAAAAAGAATTTAAGTTCCATAAATTTATAGAAATTTATAGAAATTTATGGAACTTGAATTCAATTTAAAATTAAATTTCTATGCATGTGTCAGAAAGATGGCAAGAGAATTCCAATTTGAAAACCGCCAGTGACACAGACAAAAATCCTGGCTAGCAAAGTTCCTAGAACATGAGATTTCCATAAACACTGTTGATCAGATTCCATATGATCAATATATATTTTTATAGGCACCTAGTTCTCTGGGTCCTATGCTACTTATAGAGGTAGGACTGCCTTGTCCCACTGACATTTTTCTAGTCAGAACTCATTTTCTAACAAGCCAAGGTGAACATGAAACTGAGATAGAGCTTTTCCCTGTCTCATGTTTTATCAACACTTAAGATTAACAAATGTATTTTATAACACATTCTGCTGTTGGCCGCAGGAATACATTTATGATGAAGCTTCATTCTCTAACAGTAGGCAGTGTCTCACATGTTTTGCTTTATTTTCTCCATTAAAACTAAAGATTGTTTTATAACGTGGTCCTCATCTAGGGGTGATTTTGCCTCCCAAGGGACATTAAGCAATGTCTGGAGACATTTTTCATTGTCACAACCAGAGGGATACTACTAGCATCTGGTGGGAAGAGGCCAGAAATACTGCTAAACATCCTAAAATGAACAAAAGAGCCCCATGCAACAAAAAATTATCTTGCCCCAAATGTCAACAGTGTCAAGATTGAGAAACCCTGTTTTATCAACATACAAGCAATAATAAAGCCCAGAACAATGGTGGCCAAATTACTAAACAAGCTAAAAATGATAATTTTTAGAAATATAACTATTGATGCTATGGTCACAATTCCTTTAAAATATGCAAAAGCCTATCACCAGATTTTTCCAATTCTTAAAATGCCCCTAACCCTTAAAGGTCTTGATATCAGTTTCTTTAGATAATTTTTTTTAAGAGACTCTTTGAACCACATAAAACAGAATCTATTACAACTACAGAAATCACAAAACAAAAACATCTAAACTTACCGCTAAGCCCATCAACATATTTTCACCAACAGTGATCTGAATTCTTAGTCCAAACAAAGCATTCATTCCTTTGAGTTTTAATTTATTCATTAGCTGAGTATGTACTTCATATTCCATAAATGGCAACAGATTACTGATAGCTGTAGCATTTGCTTCTGCCTGTGCTTTCTTTTTTAAACGACATAATCTGTTAAGGAAAATAACTTAGTCAGTGGACTGTATTCTTGGTACCATCCAAAGAAAAGTCAATTTATAAAATTTTCTAAAAGTTAATAAAACATTTACTTGTTTCAAATGGGCTTATCAGTAATCTTTTCTGCCGGTTTTTGTCATTGTATTAACTTTTACCAAAAGTCATATTTCAGTAATTAAAAACAAAAAACTCAAAATCTCTAGAAATGAAATAAATACTGACCAAAATCACTAGAGAACATAATTTAAAATCTTAGGTTTCATAACTGCATGTGATCATATGATAGAAAGATAGTAGAGGAAAAAAGTTAATTTACTCATTAAAAGAATACAAAAGTTACTTGAGCATCTACTATGTGCCAGATAGGCCACTTTCAAAGGAACAAAATAGTAAGACTAATGGATTATTTCTCAATGGTAGCAACGAAAGCCAGAGAGCAGTGGTGAAAGGACATCTTCAATGTGCTGAAAGAAAATAACTGCCAGCCCAAAATATCTTTTAAAGATAAAGTAAAATAAACACATTTTTCAGACAAAGGAAAACAAACAGTTCACCACCAGCAGACCCATCTAAAGAAATACTAAAACATATACCTCAGGCAAAAGAAAATAAATCCCAAATGGAAGGTCTAAGATGCAAGAGTAAAAAAATTAAACGTATTAGAAATATATTTTAGAAAAAAAATCAACATGACTTTGAATTTGATATGGGGAAGGTGGGAAAGAGGACAGTGTCAAAAAATACCAAATTTGGCAAGAAGTACTGGATAGAGAAAGGTACCATTTATTAAAATAGAGAAGGCTAATAAGAAAGTAATGGAAAAAGTTGGCAGCTCACCTTAGAACAAGTATGAGATGTCTATGATACATCAAAATAGAGTGTGAAGTAAACAGGTATATGAGTCCAAAGCTCAAAAGAAAGTTCTAAACTAGAGTTATAAATTTGGAAGTCACATATATATAGACAGAATATATAGATCTATATGAGTTGATGAGTTCAACTCAGGAGAAGCTTTGAGAAGATGGTCTAAACCCATGACTCTCAAGGATCAAGAAATGAGGAGGATTCAACAAGGAGACTGAAGACTATACATAAAGGTAGGAAAAAACAGAAGGTGTGGCAGTGTGAAGACAAAGGAATTTCAAGAAGGAGAAAATGATCAGCTTTGTTACTACTGCTGAGATGTCAATTAAGATGAGGACGGAAATACCCAGTGGACTTGGTAGGCTGGCAGTTGTTGGTGACCTAGACAGTTATAGCTGTTTCCTGTATGCCTGCCACAATTTAGGATTTCCTACTCCAGTGCATTTTAAAAGAAACTTTTAACAGCTAACTGAAGTAGTAAAAGGAACACTACATAACACTGTTTAAGAAAAAAAAAAGTCAATTTCCAAAATGTTACATATTTAATGTCATTAAAGCAGTCTATTTCAATGTTTAAAAACTATTTTTGCATATAAATTCATTTGAGTTTTATAGAGAGAGTATTTTTCCTCCCAATTTTATGTGTGATTAAAATACAATGTTCCAATAGAATTGCCCAGGATCAAACAAGTAGGAAACAGTTCAGCACAAATAGATTTATGACTCATACTGCATACAAGAGTACTTCAAAAAGTTTGTGGAAAAATTAAATTAAAAAATAAACAAACCTTTCCATGAATTTAGGGACACCGAATACCACTCACAAACATACCTTGCTTGAATAAGACAACCTTTTCCAATAACTGTTGCATCTGTTGGGAGGTCTATAGTTGTAAAGAGAACATCAGGAACTTTTTGTTTCCTGCAGTTATAGCAATATGTGAGATGAGCTGGAAATGGCATATTCAGTTCATCATATGGTATATGGCAAAATCCACAGCACGTAGGCAAGTTTTCATCGAGCCTATATAAATACATTAAGAAAAAAAAATAAGGTATTCTTAAAAAACCTATATGGTAGCACTGAAACAATTCACTGGCACAGGCAGTTTTTTCAGTAGAATATTCCAACTGTTTAATACACTTCAAAATGCCCCACCTTCACTTTCCTATTTATGATGACCTTTAAGGCTCTGTAATACATAATGGTCAATATCCATTTTCATGCTGACAAAAGAAACTGATGAAGGTACAGAGCTAGAATATCTTTCTTTGTTATACAGAGACTTGCAAATTTATAGTAAATTTGAGCAGATACAAATTTTTTTTATATTCTTCCTTAATATATACTTAATATATGAGTACTGGGGGAGAGAGCAAACACACATAACTGTGGCATAAGGAGAAATTAAAGTTTATATTATTCAGGTAAACTCTGGTACCAAACTCAATAGTTTTGGATTTCATTTATTTATTTATATATAAACACATATATGTTTAAAAATATATACATATATGTTTAAATACATATGTATAATATATACACATATAATGTATAAAATATAATATGTATAATATACATATGTTTAATATATATGTATATTTGATGGTTTCATCTGTTTATAGAGAACATTTTTGACATTTATGAAAGCTAATAGTTTAAAAGTTTAAAGGAGGGCTGGCTGGTTAGTTCAGCTGAATAGAAAGCAGTGTTATAACACCAAGGTCAAGATTCGGATCCCTGTACCAGCCAGATGCCAAAAATAAATAAATAAATAAAGTTTAAAGGGACCAATAACTTAATAAGCCAAAAAAGTAAGCTTATTTCACCCAATGTTTTCACTTTCTTTTTCACATATATTACCATTATATTTCACCTTCCATCAAGTTCCTATATAATAGAAAACTTTGATTGTTTAATTATTTGTAAACTAAGAACTTTATTTATGAAAATTGTTTCATGACCTCTTCCTGTTTTGGGAGGTGAGACAAAGGGTAAAAAGAGGAAAAGAAAAATCAAATATATTGTGACAAAGCCAAAAAAATGTATACTTAAAATTCTTCAACTGGTGAAGTTGTACATGTCAATTATCAAGATACTAAAAACAAGGGCTGATGGTTAGCTCAGTTAGTTAGAGAATGGTGCTGCAACACCAAGGGTGCAGGGTTCATTTACTGTGCTGGCCAGCTGCCCAAAACACAACAAAAGGATGACACTAAAAACAATAATGTGTGCAATACAGTGCAGAGGTCAGTATTTCTCTGTTACTGAAGGCTAGTTAAAAATCAGTGAAGTACTTGGTCCTAATTCCTACACTATATACCATGGCAAGCCACCCTCAAAGAGAAGAAGTATCCCAGCTCTGGGAAAAAAAATAAAGTCATCCTCTCCCTTTTCTGCCCTTATGAAAAATAAGCCAGGCTGCAATGACAACCTTTGTTCCAAACAGCCCTCCACGGTGCCATCCTGCAGAAATCTAGGATTCAGTACAGCTGCTGTGCCGGATGCAGATAAAATACAGACCTCTTCACTGTAAAAGAAAAAATACAATCAAATTAATATTTTCAGGCAGTGTAACTTCAGAAAATGCTAAATATCAAAATGATTATAACAGTGACAATTTAAATTTGAGTTAGACTCTACTATTAAATAATATCACAGGATTACCTCCTAAACTTAGGATAGAAAATAGAAATAATACAACTTTATTAGAATGGAGAGGGCAAGAATTCTTTATAAATTAAAAACTGGAATAAGATAAAGTATAATGTTAATGACAATAGCTTCCTTTGAAATATAGCAAGGCGGAAAGACCGGAATGTTTCAAAATATAAGCAATAACAAACTATACTGTTGAATCCAGCATTAATCCACTAAATTGTATTTAAATATTCTTTAAATGCATATTCTTTAAATGCAAACTATACTGTTGAATCCAGCATTAATCCACTAAATTGTATTTAAATATTCTTTAAATGCATATTCTTTAAATGCATATTCTTTAAATGCAAACTATACTGTTGAATCCAGCATTAATCCACTAAATTGTATTTAAATATTCTTTAAATGCATATGAAGTTATTCTAAAAGCAATTATAAAGGTATCTGAAATATCCAAGATAGACTAAATGAAGCTTAAACTACGTCATTATATGTAAATAGAAAACTGATTTTCAAAAGAATTCTTTGAAATTCTTTATTACATATCACTCAATTTGAGAGCTAAAAAGTTAAACAATCAACATAATTACTGAACGAATCATCCAAAGCAAATGAGAAAAATAGCAACCTAGAGACAAAATGCTAGAAGCACGATATAAATGGAAAGAAGCCTAATAGGACAAAAGAGAAATAGTCACTTGAACTAAAAGTGAGTAGAGGAAGACCAGGCTTAAAAGGTAAGTGGGCACTGAGCATGTCAGAAAGAATAACACGGAGTCAGAAGGAATAAACTGGAGGTTTCTGAATCAAGAGCAGAAGTGCATTTCAAAGAGTTTGACCCAGTAACAGTAAGCAAGATGGGTTGGAACAGAAAAAATTAGTAAAGATGAGATTTAAATTCAAAATTTTTTTGAGATCTAGATGGAAAAAAAGGAGGTTCTGTCAGATGAATTCAGACTTTTAAGTAAATTAATTGGACTTATTTGTACATTCTTGAATCCATGACCTGTCTTCAGCCACAGTGAATCTACATCTGCAGCCTTCTTCATATGCTATTCTTTTAGCTTTGAACACTCTCTTACATGCCTTTTCATTTATATAATTCATATTCTTCACCCAAGATTCAAGCATCAGTTACTTCATTGACACTTTCTTCCAATACTACTTCTGGGATCCCAAAGAATCCTGGGATATGTCAATCATAAAATGTATTTTATTTGTCACCATTCTCCAGGAGAACATAAGTCTGATGGTCAGAACTATGTCTTTTAAAACCATATCCCTAGGACCTGAAAGTGCATGACACTACATCCATAAAAGAGGCAAGACTATCTACTAGGAAATAAGGCAGGATAAACATGACAGAAGTTAATAAGAGTAGAACAGCTACTATGAGAATAGAACAATTCAAGAATACAATATATGGTCTGCAAAAGAAAAGAAAGGGCCCACAGAAGATTAAATAGCATGGCTCTGTAATGCCCATATTTACTACAGTTTAAAGATTTTTCCCTAACGATAATGATCACCACAAGAGGAGAGAATCTGGTAGTAAGAATTACCCAAGAACAGAATATGGAAAAATAAGATAGCAAAAGGTCAAACAGTTTCTAGATGATATCATTTATAACCTTCTGAAGGGACTGACAGTAGGTTTCAAGGATGACAAAACAGCAAATAAAGCCAGAATGAAGTAAAGAACTGGTAAACACTTGGTTAAGGTAAGAGTCAAAACAAACTACGTGTAAATGAGCAAATGAAGATTGGTAGAAAAACATTAAGTTGTAATCTGAGAATAAAGTTTTATAGTTTCCAATTTTTAAAGTAGAACAGTTTTGAGTGACAATGAGGGGAGAGAGGACTTGAGACTGAGAAACAATAATGCCAGTCTGCTAGAAGAGAGATAATCATGTATAACTGGAGGAGACAGCACAGAAGTAATTAAGAAAGGCAAACAAATGTTTTAGAGGTAGATAAATCTGAATAGTAGAGTGGCAAGAACTTTAAAGAAGGAGAGCTTGTTCAAATGAAAAGTAGGAAAAAAAAGAAGAATTGAGAACCAAAAGCATGGAAACCCCTTCCTAACTTGGCAGAGTTAGAAGAAAGATTTGTTAGCAGGAGACAGTTACATACAGTTAGGAAAACAAGGCAGAATGAGTTTACAGACCAACTTTAAAGACACATGGAAATCATTTACCACATATAAAGGCTTTCAAAGGCCTTACTAAAAAGAGTTAGCAGAGTCAGAAACTGGAATAAAATAGACCTAGAGTTAATACTTGCGATTTGCCAGCCAGTACCATATTCTCATTTAATCCCTGAAAAACTTTAATTGATAGGGGGTATTATCTCTATTTTAATAACTATAATACAAACTGAGGCTTGTGGGAGATGAGTTACTTTCTCAAAGTTATATGGTGATTAAGTGGCAAAGATGGCATATGAACCTTGATCTGATGTACTCCAAAGCTCATACTCCTGAGCACTTCACTACTCTTCTTTTCTTTATATTTGCATAAAGCTTTTCCCCTTTCAGATGACAATCAAAATTACAGTGTCTAAAAAAATCAAGTTGCTATTATTTACCAGATGCTAGTTGATTCACTGTAGCCCACTACCGCATGACAGCCTAATGCTTTAGCATGTGATTTTATTTCTTGTCTGATTTCTGCCCACCATGCATCTCGAGTTTCTGGTTCATCTGAAAAATAAATTTTAAATCAGTTCACTATTTAATAGCACATTGTCTATATAAAAAAGAAATGTTTAAAATAAACATACTACGGCAGTTAAAGAAGTATTGTTCTGAAACAGATTTTCAAACTTCACATCTTTAAAATGCTACTTATTAAAAAGCATAACATCTTAAACTTGATTGCTGGAAAACAAACCACCCAACCCCTTTGCTTTATTACTTTAAGGTAAGGGATAGCTATAGAAATGTATGTTTAGACACAACTTAAAATGTAGACCCAGACTTTCCAGATTCTATCGAGATTCTTTCCAGATTAACTGAGAGGGTATCCTATGTCTCACCTCACTGAGTGAACACCTTATGTGTTATATCCATAAATTTAATTAAAATTCTTATTTCATTCCCTAGTGCCTACATTTTTAAAACATAATATTCTGGGTTCTATCCAAGGCAAAGATTTGTCAATGTTAAAAGTAAGAAAGTCATCTGTGCCATTCTTCTACAGAGATATGGGTACTAAATAAAGTGACAGGAAATAAAGACTAGCCAACCCCACCCCACCCCCAAATCAAATACACTTAAAAGATTGAAACAAATCATTTGGTTAATGTATATAAGTACACATTTTAGATAGAACATCATGAACTCCATGTATGGCTCTGTAATTTTAAAAAAAGATGGCTTAGAATCACAGAATTGTGTTTCATTACCATGGGAAGTCAAATATCGCTTGTAATGGAACATTATAAATGGAAGTATGTCACACATACTTCCTAATCACTTGCATTTAGCTACAAACTATGGGTGACAGCAGCTGCAAATTACAGAAACTTTTTATGTGCAAAGATGTTAAAATCAGAAACAGTCTATAATCAGCATATCCTGATTTATTTCTTTTTGTAGCCAATTCCTACTTGGCAACAAGCTGAGATAGAAAAAAAAAAAATGAACTCTAAAAGGATGATAAGCTCTTAGGGTATGTTTTCCACATAAAAGGCACTGTTAAAACTGAAAACCAAACAATCCAAACACTTTCTATTTTTGAATTACAGTACATATCCAATTTTTAAAATAAGTAGAATTATACTCACTAGTAAAATAGTGAAGACATCAAAGTAAGGAAAAGTTAAGAGGCTTGTTATAACTCACATTCCTATGATGTGATTTTGTTTCCTCCACAAGGAGGAGATCAGCAAAAGGGGGAAATGAGGAGATAAAAGCCAGAACTACAAATGATGCCAGCCAGTTTTTGAATTAAAGTTTTGGATCCAAGACAGAGCTACCCTAAAACTTTCTTTCAGAAGAAAAGAAAGCATGAAGACTTCGGAAAACTGAGGGAAAGATCAAAGTACGAGATAAAAACAAAGAAGGAAGAGAAATAGAAAAGACCATAATATGGTGTTAGCAATCGATATTCTGAATTAAGAAATGTGTGAAACAATTAGGTGGCCCTATTTTGCATATACACTACTGAGTTAAAGAATTTCTTCATATTCCTAACTAAAAATGTATACATTAACAGCACAGATACACGTTCAATTCTATTCTCTCTTTTTCTTCTGCGACATACACGCTTGTGGAGCAATTTGAATATCCTTTTAACATTATCCTTTCCTAAAAGGAAATTGTTGTATCATAAGACAAAGTTTTATTCACGTAGTTGCTCTAATCTATCAAGGTATTTATGAATCTAAGAAAACAGATACCACAAATAATAATAAAAATATATGGCAGTTTAAAAAATAATTATTTTCCTGAAAAACTCTGTGAAATAAAAAGTCAACCGTTTCTTAAAGTCACTAGTAGAACCTGCTATTTAATTTTTAAACCACTTTGGAAGTTTAAAATATTATTTTCTAAAGCAAATAATTGTATACTATTTTTTTTATAGGAATAGATTTTCTCACATTAGGTTTGCTTACATCTATACCACAAGTAATGCATGGTAGCTTTTCTGTTTTAAAAATAAGTGTTACAGGAAGCAATTCATAACATTGTTGTAAAAAAATGGAGGAAGCTCCTTATTTTAAGTTCAAAATATATTTGTCTAGAAATGGCCAGCATGTCTAAATGGAAAAGTATGTAATAATTCCTATGAGTTACATGTAACCACATAGAATACAAAGTTTATTTACATCAAACTTACCTTGGCATAACACATAAAATAATCAGATCATTAAACCAAATACTATGAAAAAATTAGTGGCTGATTTAAAAAACAAACAAACAAAAAACAAAATGCTGAATGCAGCGCATGTGGAGCATTCATATTCTTCTGACAAATTCACAAGCAGCCTTTATTTTGACACATGAGCCACACAAATTGCACATGGGGATGCCAATATTGTATTTAATAAAGTATTTACAAGTTTAATAAAAAGCTAAAGAGTTACATAACATGGGAGCTAAGGAAGCAAATGGCATATGTCCACACTCCAGAGAATTTCTTAATTTGGTTTTTGGCTGAAGCAAAAGCTCAAAGAACGAAGGGTTTGCAAAGCAGATTCAGCATACAGGAGCCAGAAACAGTGGATATTTTGGCGCATGCTTGGATCAGGTGACAGTACAGACTGAAAACTATGGCAGCTCACTGAAATGGTTACAGAAAGTAATGGCCCTAGATTCTAGGTGAAAGCAAGGCAAGCATACAGTAGGGAGCACTTAATAACAAACTAGTACTGTATTAACAATAATTATCTACAACTGTAGCAAGAAGCCAAAGGATGAATTTTTTAGCTACTAAATGAAAGGGTTACTTAATTAAAGTAGAATTAAGATTAATCGGTTTATGTAATATTAATGAAAAGTTAAATTTATCTTCAAAGCTATATTATACTCATGCCAGAGATGAGCCAGAGAATCTTCAGATAGTAATTACGATTCAGTTTGGCTTATTACCAATACAAATTCAGAAATATCATGGTATTTAATCCCTGTAATAGAATTTTTAAAGTTTAAAAGCTGCTAACTACATTCTTATAGGAAACACACTAGTGAATTTGAATTATTTTATTCAACCTACAGAAATACAAAATTTAGGATCTACCATATTTATATAAAAGGCAAAACAGTCTGTTTTAAAAATGTACAGCAACTATACATGCCATACGGCGAACTGGATACAATTCAGTTATTTGAAGGATATACAGCTGAGATGTGAGGTCACATTTAATAAACATTTCAAAGATGTTAAGAAAAAAATCTCTTCACTTTAAATACCATGCTCCTCCCAGTAATCTATAGTATTTTATAATTATAAAAAGATATCATTTTAGGAGAAATTAAAATTTAATCATTATACAGATTATATTTCATACTATTTTATGTTTTCTTCTGCGGGTCAAAACTCTTACTAGATAATATCACAAATCTTTTAATATATGATTTCAATTGTAAGCATGAACTGAGCTCTAAATTGATACCTCACTGATGCTTCTTTTAGGGGTAATGTTGGCACACTTGGGTTGACATCAGAATTCATTCATTTTTGCTACTGTTACTTTTCTAGAGCATGGCTACAGCTTGATATCTTGCCATCTTTTTAGCATTTTATCTTGTTTCTGAAGTACAGGTGAAACTGGTAAAGATTCCTCTTTGTGTGTGTGTGGCTGGCTAGTAAGGGGATCCGAACTCATGACCTTGGTGTTATAAGGCTGTGCTCTAACCAACTGAGCTAATCAGGCAGACCAAGATTCCTAAAATGACAGTTTACATCTCAGAAAGTAAAGAAATGAACAACTCAACATAATATGCTTTTATTAAACTCAATCCCTTTGAGATTTTAGGCAATCACACGCTTGCAACTCAGAAACACTGACTACCTGAAGTGTTAAATTCAGTTCTAATTTTACATTGCTCTGGGAGAGAATAACTTTGCCCTCGAGAATCTTTTAATTTGGTTGAAAGAAAAAAGAAAATGCACAGTTCTTCAACTTAATTTTTAAATGAACAAAAGGAAATAAAGTGTTAGGTAGGATCAAATAAAGGTTTTAGTACAATGATTATCTTGTTGATGGACAGCATGAAAAGCTATATTCCCAAATACCTGAAAGTAATATTCCAACTGATAACTTCTTGAAGAAGATAAATTTCCCCTAATGAAAAAGAAATTAGAGAGTTCAGGTTCAAGGGAGCATAAAACCTCAAACTGGGTGGGGATCAGAAACAGAGTAGGAAGAAGACTTTCATTATAGAAGAAGTAATGTGCAAACATCAAGACATAGTAATTTGGGATGTAGTAATTTGGGATGTTAGGATGACAGCTGGGATGTAATCCATGTTGGACCAAAGTGGAGTCTTTACATCAGTTAAAAAAAAAACGTAGGATATGTAATCTACTCCTTGATTAGGAAATTTCACTCTTTGTATATATAAAATGTAATTGGATATTCATTACTCCAAAACTAATAGTAATATAGAAAACCTCACATATCATACATGCTATATTTATGCTTTCTTGAACTCTATCTACTTCCTGAAAACCCTATGAAAATACTGAAAACCAAAAGCTGCTTAACTATTTTAGGCTTAGTTTTACACATCTGCTCATGAGTACCTCTCAGATAAAGTGAAAGGATAAGTGATGAGATCATCAGCAGAATTCAAGTTCCAAGAGAGCCTACCATCTATCTCCATTTAACTAATACACACACACACACACACACACACACACACACACAATCATGCTAACTGGTCTCCATTTAAATGAAGACCACTTACTTCAAGCAGACCCAGCAATCCCACTGCACTTGTAATATCCTGACACTGTAACTAATACACACACACACACACACAAACACACACACCAAAACAGTATAAGAACTAGCCTAGACTAGGTGTATAAACAGGATGCCTGCCTGGCTTAACGATGATGTTCCCAAGTACCCAACACAGTGCTCAACACGTGGAAGGCACTCCATAAACATTCACTAAATAAAAGGTTTTTAATTAAAACTTAAAAAATTAATTTGGATCAACAGACTGATATGCATACTCTATAAATATTTCTTTGCATATCTGACTCAGTTTGCTAACATTAAATATTTTATAAAGTAATAATTATTTGTCTAGGTTTTAATTATTAAATTTTGCTCCCAAAATAAGATTAATTTTCTAAATCACTTATAAACCTGATAGCTAAAAAAAAGAGTAACATTTTCTAATTTTATACCACTAATCTAAAGCCTGCCTTATCACCAGTAAAAGCTTACTATAAGACTGATAAAATCTTAGTATGTCCTGATATCTACAATCTACCTAAAACACTATTTTAAAAAACTTTTCAAAATATTCTCAATAACAAAAAAAAAGTTATCTAGTTTTAAATAACTTAGTTTTACTAACTTAGGTCTTAAAGTATTAACTCAAATTAACTCAAAAAGTATTGTCTAAGTTTGGAAGCTATCTCAAACTAATATATGACTACATTTTCAAACCACATTATATAACTACTTTACATTTCCTTTTGCTACTTCCTAAAAAAATATCTGAGCTGACATGCATCCTACACAGAGAAAGAATAGCAAAATTTCCCCAACTACACAGAAATCATCACTGATTTAATAAGTATATGTATGAGCTAATACTTTTAGTGGTAACTCAGGTGAAAAAACAAAATGATGATATGTATGTGAGAAACAATAACCTAGGACTATTAAAATATACTACTATTTAAATATCTTCTACAACTCAACTTTCAAATAAACTTGAGTTTCCAAAGGATAGGACTCAGTTGCTCGCTGAAATTTTACATTTTTGGGTATATGAGATAATCTCTTTCTCAGCTAAAAGCTGACAAGAACCTGCTTTACTTACCACTTTCCACTAGTTACTAAGTCCTACTGATTTTTACATTCTAAATGTTTCGTTAAGAGCGCAGCCAGAGTGCTCAAGTTCAAATCATGGATCAGCCACCTTCTAACTATTCACCTTGAGAAAACTGCTGTTTCATTTTGCTCACCTGCAAAACAGGATTAGTGTCCGCCTCAGTGATCTGTTTTGAGGACTGAATGACCTACTCTTATAAGGCACTTAAATGAGTGTCTGGCACATAGTAAGTGCTTAATAAATGTTAGCTCTCCTATTACCACAAACCCTAGGTCACTTATCTGGCCAGGACTACTGCACAGTCTACTAATTGGTCTCCCTGTCTCTAGTCTTGTTGCCTTTAAATCCACTATCCATCCTGTAGTCAATGATTTAAGGCAAAGGTGACCATGGGCTACCCTGTCTTATTCCTCTGCACTCCAGTTCCTGACATGTCACATACAAGAGTTGTAAATGCTGAATCCTCCTTCCAAGCAGCAAGATTCACCTTTCCTTTCTCAAAGTCTATTATCAGGCCAGAAACATAAGAAGAAAGATAAGAGGGCCAGCCCATGACTCACTTGGGAGAGTGTGGTGCTGATAACACCAAGGCCACGGATTTGGATCCCTGTATAGGGATGGCCGGTGAGCTCACCTGGGAGAGCGTGGTGCTGACAACACCAAGTCAAGGGTTAAGATCCCCTTCCCGGTTGACTTTAAAAAAAAAAAAAGAAGGGCCGGCCTGGTGGCGCACTGCTACGGTGCGCCGCTTGGGAGCGGGGTGGCGCTCCCGCCGAGGGTTCGGATCCCACATGCAGACCGGCCGCTCACTGGCTGAGCGAGGTACAGGTGCAACACCGAGGGTTGCGATCCCGTTGCCGGTCCCGGTCCGGTGCGGGCGTGACACTGAGGGTTGCGATCCGTTGCCGGTCACGAAAAAAGACAAAAAGGAAAAATAAATAAATAAATAAAAATAAAAAAAGAAAAGAAAAAAGAAGAAAGAAAAGAAAAGGTACTTTTTAAAAATAAATTCTCAGATATTGAGTTCCCTTCCTCTTGCCCTAAAAAAATAATTTCTGTCATAGTAGTTAACACAAACTAAGAATGCAAAGCAGAAGAAAAGAAGACAGGGGAAGGAAAAAACCCCTAAACTAACCAAGTAACCAGGAAATACAGTATGAAGGAACTGTAGCATTAATAAAAATGATATCAATAATTATTTTTCTTACTAACATGGTCAATTCTTGATTTTCTATGGTAATATAGGACAGCAATGGCTAAATATTCCCAAATTACAGATAAGAATACGTACAATGATTTTAATACATTTTGTACTCAGTGGCAAACAACCTAGTAAGTATGAAGTAACTATGTAAACATCATCAATCCAGTACCGTCTAGGGATAGTGTTTGGAAAATGCTGGAAGTTTCAGAACCACACTCAAAGTATGTATTAACATGGGTCTAAATATATTGTCTGAATATAAATCTGTGTGATTCTCCTACATGTCATCCAAATTCAAGCTCAAGAATTACCACCTCTGCAAGATTCTCTGACACACACAGTTTATCATGCCTTCCTCTTTAACTTTGCATCTTGTTATCACACCATACCACACAGTAAATCATTTAATGTTTTTCTATCTTCCAAGAATAAGAGTTTCATCAAGGCAGGGGGGCTGGAAATCTTTGCACCCTAATATCCAGCAAACTGCATGGCACAAAATAAATTCTAATACTTGCTTGCATGATACATCCTATTTTATAAACCATTATTGTTTGATATAATATGTTTTCCTATATCTTTCCATATTTTAATGTTCCTGAAACGAGGAGTCTAATAACTAGTAAGTATATTTAATATGGTAGTGTTTCATTTTTTTATCTCTTGGAAGGCTATTATTAAATTGATGATGCATCACATAATAGTTTCAGAGAATCTAGAAAATATAGTATGAAGAAACAATCCTAGCATTAATAAAAACAGTAACAATAATTATTATTTTTTAGTATAATTTTGTTACTAACATGAAGCAAAAACAATTTTTGCTTTTCCATAGTAATATAAACAGCAATGGCTAAATATCCCCAAATTACAAAGAACACATAAATAATTTTAATACATTTACCAAATATATCACATTTGTTCTGAATTATTGTTAATTTTCCTGAACTAATATCAAAATCAGCTTCGCCTCTGAAGATGTTCTAGCTGTTACCAGAAACATTCTAACCAAAAGCAGATTACTATGAGACCATTAAAATGAAAATGTCATCCTTTATGTTCTTTTAGTATTCTATAACTTACGTCCACCTTTTTTCTTCATATACTTCCTACCTGACATTATTTTAAATGATGGCAAGATATACTGCTTCCTCAACCATGTTCCTCTTTGTCAGTTCTATATCTCTGCTTACATGAGACAATGTCCTTACTATGTCTGTAAGATTTAATTTTTTCTTTTTCCACTTTCCAAGACTGTTCTCTCATCTGACCAACACATCTCACCCTAAACATCTTTGCCCTGAGAAGATTTCAGTTCCTTAAATTATTAATGATCAATTTGCTCTCAATGTCCTTTGTCTACATAGCCTTTTTCTCTTCTCATTATGCTGACCTGCCCATGTTTTGAAAATATATTCTTACTTTTATGAAATAAATCCAGCAGGGTATTTTTAAATTTCTTACTAAAAATCAACTATAAAATACTACTTGATAATTTTAATTCTAATCAATGACTGCAAGGTGGCAAAAATCTGGATAGGAAATACAGGTAATTTCCCTAAAGATTTACCAACTGATATCAGTCTACATTTGCAGCGGTTGGACCAGATTGTTTCCCAGACTTTAGGTAAATCTGCATGATGAACATTAGTTACTTCATAGTCAAACATCCATTACTTTTATCGAAACTTACATCTAGGGGGAAAAAAAAGAAACTTACATCCTGGATTTCTAAGAGCAAAAATAGTTTACAATATTGAAAAGATTATGGGATATTATCTGAAATGCTGAACCCCTTGGTGTTTTGGTTTTCTGTAAGACATATTTTCTGACACAAAGAACTAACAAATTTCTTTAGGCAAAATATCAGCTTCTGATACTAAATAAAAATGGTTCTATCATTTAATTTAATTCTAAAAAACAGGTAATATAAAAATTTAGAAATTTGTAAAGAGAATATGCTTTTACAAAAAGAAAAATTAATTGGCTTTGACTCTAAACCACATCATCAGCTGTAAAGTTCTCTATTTTAGTCTGGTTTCTTTAAAAGCTACAAACTATATCCATATGTAAAATTACTTAAAAAGAAAAATTATATTCTCACATGGAAAGGGAAAGAGGAAAGCTTATGAAAGCTGTTAATCTCCCAAAAAGCTGCTCTTAGTTACCAAATTTTGGAATGCCTCAAGAAAAATGCTATCAGTTACACTTTTATAGTATTTTATAGAACACTAAATATATTCTATTCAAATCTAAATATTCAGTTTAAATATACTTTAATATTTATCAAATGAGTCATTAAATACTTATAGTATATTTAACAAATATTTGCTTAATGGTAAAGTTAATGTCTGTGTCATTTACCTGACATGAAAAATTTGTCCAAAATGAAATAAATATAAATAAATTATTATTCTCAAAGTTAATCACCTAAGAAAAGTCGATCATAATTTAAGACATCTCTATGACTTTGACCTGTGTCATTTACCTGACATGAAAAATTTGTCCAAAATGAAATAAATATAAATAAATTATCATTCTCAAAGTTAATCACCTAAGAAAAGTCGATCATAATTTAAGACATCTCTATGACTTTGATTAATTCGTTTTAGTTAACACATTTTATATTTGCATTTCCATGATAATTACAAGAGTTATTACATATGTATTGCAGAATATGTCTGTATAGCTGAATTGACATTAAACCTATTTAATCAAGAACATTTCTAAAAACTTCACTGAGCTGCCATAATTTTTGTCAGCGTATGTAGTACTGAATGACCATTAAAATACCTGAATTGAAACTATTCCAGTCTAGCAGTTTGTAAGATCTTGTGTTACCCATAATTCCGACAAAGGCTGAGTTCAAAACAGCAAATTAGTAGATCAGTTTTAGGTGCAGAATAGTAGGAATAAAACAAAAAACACTACAACAAGAACACAATTGACAACACCACTCGACAGGAACTGGAAAGACACAGACAGCAGAGTTAATAAGAAGTAGAAATAAGGAAGAAGGAGCATGCTACAGTAATCTAACATTAACTAGTCTAATTATTAAAGTTAATGACTTTGATTTTTAAAACCACCCCATTCTTTCCCTTGTTATATGTTCCTGTTTGCTTAATATTTAAGAAAAGAGGAAGTTCTAAAAAGGAAAAAAAAACTCTAACATAATATTCTATAGTCAGCAGGTGGTAGTGGTTTTAAAATAAGATTTTTTTTCTTTCACTGAGAGTGAAATAAAAATGTCCCACATTCAGAAGTCAAAAATAGCTACACTCTAACATAATATTCTATAGTCAGCAGGTGGTAGTGGTTTTAAAATAAGATTTTTTTCTTTCACTGAGAGTGAAATAAAAATGTCCCACATTCAGAAGTCAAAAATAGCTACAAAATTCATTTGAGAATGCAGACACATCATTTTTAACATTAGCACATACATCTCAATCCATCATTTGTTTCTCAGCAGAGTAACTCAGTGTGACAAAACTAATACATCATCATTATGATAGATGATTATCTACAGTTTCATTTTAACATTCAGCTTTTTTCAACAAATTAAAGTTTCTTCATAGATAATTACTTAAGAGGCCTGGATATTAATAAATGTTCTTAAGAAAACATTCCTTTTAATGCATAATATGTTCCTTCTTAGTACATAATCCAAAGAATATAATATTATAAATCAAAATAATATTGGAACCATTAGAACATAAAATTGATATGTTTTTAACTGAAAATAAAACAAAATGAAAACATAACTCATATAACATTAATGTATATTGTATATGCCCATAACCTTTTGGAAAATAATCCATTAATAACTGAGAATTTCTACATGTGAATTGAAAAAATATTATGAAAGTAGAGGAAAGGGAGAGAATGGGTGAACTGGTAATTACAATACACAAAACACATTCTGTAATATGGATTTCTGTTTTCTTTCCTGGGCCTGGATTCTTACATTTCTTATTCAGAGTGAACTGGCAGGTATGATCAACCCAAAAAAAGCAGTTTTTTGTAAAAAGCAGTGACATTTTAAATACATCTCTCTACTTAAACTTATGTAAGTAACTTTCTTTTGTTCTCCCAGACTCTACAGCTTACTCAGAGCACATGGAAGCTACAAAAAAAGAATTAAAATGTTTTTCGTAAACAGAAGATATCACCAACAACTGAATTTATTCCTGAAATCATTTTTGGAGCTATCAAATCAGTGGGTACCATCTATTAAAATATTTGAGTCAATGATCCATAAAAACACAGTTAACTAGCCTTGGGTCACACAGTTAATGTCAGCTATCTTAACTCGCTATTTCCCTGCACTTTCCAAATAATTCAGTTCCTAAACACAAAGATGTAGAACTTGGCATAATCTAAATTCTTAATATATTAAACTGGGATCAGTTTGAATTTTCCTTTAAGTACAGCAGAATATGTAAATAATAAAGACAAGACCTTAAATTGACCAGAAAAATAAGAAATGGAGAAAAAATAAGCCAGAGAAGAAAAAGAAAAGACTGCTGCTTAAAAGATGTATTTTCTCAGCTTTAGAGTTAAATAATCCTGGCTAGAATTGCTTTTCTGAGTCCAGAAGAATTCCATTCTGCTTCTCTGTAATGAACTCAAATGGTATCAAACCACAGGAAATTGATTAATTTTTTTTTTAATTTTAAAGAACGGTAATGCTCTGTATCCTCAAAATCACTATCTGCAACATTTTCCATCCAATAATTACAAAGCACTTTGCTCTTCTCTTTACAGCTGTTAATACAAGCCTCACAAAGAGGTTATTGAAAGTGACAATTTAAAATTTCAAAAATGTATATGTATATATGCCAAATAAGAATACTAATATAATTTCAGGTTTAAGTATATCGTCAAAATAATAATTGACTTAAGCAAATGACTGAGCATCTAGTCAATGAGAGATGCAAAAACACATTCCATACAGGAAGTTCGTACCATTTATCACGCTTCTTTTAGATTTAGAAAAATCACCATGGTATTTCTAACCCAAGGGTCTGAAATTACTAAGACTTTGATGCCTTTCTTCTTTTGTAATTATGGCTCCATGTTTTAAGAAATGAGCTACTATTGTCACTTGTTTGCTTACATAGAACAAACAGCTAGCTACATGAAAGAAACCAACGAACCAGATGTTAGTTGTTTTTTTTTTTATTAATAGATACTCTACACAACTTTTATAATTACATTTTAAAAGAAAAGCTTCTTTTTTTTTTTTAGGAATAAGGAAATTAAATAATCTATAAAGAGCTATTGCTAGTGAAAAGAATATTAATAGATACTCTACACAACTTTTATAATTACATTTTAAAAGAAAAGCTTCTTTTTTTTTTTAGGAATAAGGAAATTAAATAATCTATAAAGAGCTATTGCTAGTGAAAAGAAATTAACAATTTAATGGCCATAGGGCCGGCCCGTGGCTCACTCGGGAGAGTGTGGTGCTGATAGCACCGAGGCCACGGGTTCGGATCCCATATAGGGATGGCCGGTTGCTCACTGGGTGAGCGTGGTGCTGACAACACCAAGTCAAGGGTTAAGATCCCCTTACCGGTCATCTTTTAAGAAAAAATAATAATAATAAAAATTAATTAATTAATTAATTAATGGCCATAATGGTCAAATTGTAAAATTATTTTATCTTCCTGGGTCAAAGAAAATAACTGACTCAAGTTATTTGATAAGTTCCTCAAAGCTATACCTTGGCCAAAAATAAATCAAGGTCTGTTTGTTTTGTATAGAAAACTAAAATATACTTGTACTTAGTTTGATTATTTTTATTAAGATTACTGCAAATATTTTAAAGTAACATGTGCCAGTTTATACTTTAATTTCATTTCTCTTTTCAGACAGGTTTGGCTTTAAAAACATTATAAAAATCAATTTTAATAATACGATTTAAATAAGGAAAATGTTGAATACAAACTTTTAAAGAACATACCAGGATTGTGGATACGGTCCAAAAGCTTCACAGAACGTGCACTAACAACACCCCCAACATGGACAAGAAATCCAGGAGGAAATGCCGTCAAGGTAAAAAATGGAAATTCCTAGTAGAAAGAATGGGAGGAAAACACAACTGACCATGTGTTAAATATAAAAAGTCTGCTTGTCAAAAAGCTTGTCATAAGAAAACATATTCTATCCCTTGAAATAAAAGGCTACCCATTATACATTACGCATGCTTTGGAATTAAGTTTCTTCAGATGTTTAGAGTTCTGAAAACATTTTCCCATTTATACAAAGCTATACAGAATCCAAAGACCATTTTTATTAATTCTCAATGAGAATAAATGTTCTCAGAGTTCTAATCAATCTGAGATGTTTGGAACACACTCTTCCTTCCTCTCAATCCCCTACTCTGATACAACTTCACAACAAGATGAAGGGATTGCCCTACCCCTTTACCTCATGTCTACTTCTCAATGGTGTAGACAACCCCTCACATACGTAACCAATACAAGTTGTTGGTAAAGATTCCAAAGGCCTCAGGCAAGAGATCCGAAAGAAAGTGGGACTAAGGGAGGAATAGGATGAGCATGTGGGTTAAGAGAAAGAAGAAGGGTGAATATCAAGCAGAGACAGGTAGAGAATCATTGTGAGGGACCATTTACTCTCCTTACTCTATCAACACCAGGGAGCAGGAGCAAATGCAAGAAATATAAATGTATATTAAGGAAAAGGGACAGGTAGGTAGATAAGAGCTAGGGAGGTAGTCAAATTTCACTAGTTTTTTCCAAGCTTTAGTCTCCCCTTCTCTCTTAAGGACATAAAGCTCATCAACTTAGAGACAAGGAGAAGCGTGGAAAACAGAAATGATATAGTAGAAAAAGGAAATTCATTGAAATAGCACCCAGGAAGAAAGAGGAGTTCTCTGTGGCTGCCCAAACATAGAGGCCCCTCATATTATATAAAGCAGATGCAAGGGAAACTTGATATTTGACCTGTCTGGCTATAACATTAATGTAGCTCACTTAACCAGAAGTCACTTACCAGTAGCCTCAGCTATTTTGAACACAACTGAGAGCTGGAAAATAGGCAAAACAGGACTCTCAACAGTCAAAAAAACTGTTACAGTTCCAAATACTAAAGTTCATGCACTTTATTCATACAAGATCCCCACTGATCATATCCGAACTATGATACATAGTAGTTATCCGAACTATGATACATAGTAGTTATAAACATATATTATAGGAACATAGAATTCTAAAATTTATCATTACCTTACTTTCTAGGCCATAGCACATTAAATGCAACAAAAAAAAAGCTGGGAGAGAAAGAGACACAGAATACTACTGGAAGCAGGCATATGAAAAGCAGCAAGATTACTGACTGGCTGCTTACAGCATGGAGAACACAAACTCACAAAAGCATAATTCACAAAGCATAGCACCTTGTATCATTCAGCACAAAGGCAAACAGTCTGGCATACCTCAGTAACCCATGAAAGTAGAGTATAAAAAACATACGTGTGTGTGTGTGTGTGTGTGTGTGTTCATGTGTATGTATGTGTATTTACACACACACATATTTAGAAGTAAATTCAGTTAGAATTTAGAAGTAATCTTTAAATTAACAAGGTCAAAAAAATCTAGGCTATGTAAGAAAAGAGTAAAAACCCAGTCTACGAAAGTGATTAGGTTTGGTCCAACTGACAGGTAGAGGGAAAAGAGAAGAGGATGGATGAGAGAGAAATATGTCACGTAAGTGCACTATAAAATGTTTAGTCAAAAAGCATCCTTATTTCCATCTGAATTTTCTTTAATGCAAGTTTTAAATGAGACATTTATAGGTGAGCTTATGTTACTAAAAATGTGAGTATTTTTCCTAGAAAATTAGGTCTTTTAAGATTTTTTTTCAACTTTAGGAATACATAAATTTCAAAATTTCCTCAAAATTTCTTAGGCATATGATGGTCACATAGAATAAAAAAGTACTTTATATTTAACCTTTATATTTAAATATGTTAAGTATCTAGGCAAGAGACACTGAAAATAAAATTTTTGTAAGCTATGAAAAATGAAAACTTCCTTCTAAAACTAAGAAATAAATTAGGTAAATTCACATATTAGAAAACATCTGCATATACATCTGATTTTAGATAGGTATGAAAAAAGGAGCCTAGATGATTTCTCTATTCAGGATTCTTTACTCTTTGACCAAGATTTCAGGAGACTGAATAAAGGAACAAGAGGGAAAGTATCCTACCAGAGCTGGTCAGAGCAGAAAAACATAAGGCACTGGCTGCCCAAAGAAGCAAAGGCCCACCCTGTGGCCTTCACTGTCTTATGTGTCTCAGTTCACCTAATCGACAGTTCACTTTACAACACAAAGTTTAACCTACGGTAAATAAAAATGTCACTGTTATTTAACCAAAACTCCATCTTCAGACAATTCTGTAATTAGAACTACTACTGATATCTACAGCAGACTGTTAAATACTATCATCTCCACCACCATCACCAGCAACTACTGTTGAGTACTTACATGTGCCAGACCCTATCGAAAGTATTTTAAAACTATGCTTTATTATCTTTCCCATATCCTGAGAGGGAGGTACTATTATCTCCATGTTTTCGATCAAAAACTGAGGTCAAGAAGGCCTTTTATTCTTAGATTCTTTTTGAGCAATGACCTTATCATCTGGTTTCCTTGTCATTTCTGGTTAAAATACTGAGGTAAGGACTTGATTTTAATGTACAGTCTTGTTTACACCTAATGAATTTATAGGTTTTCTTCCATTGCACAACTTCCTTAAGATCAACCCAAACATGCCCTGCTTTCAATGCCTACTGTGAATTTCAGCAACTGTAGAAGAAATTTTCTCCAGAACGTTCTTATGTTTAAAGTATATTTCCCTGTGTTACCAACACGGACATTACATGTTGATGCTTTGTCATAAGCCAAAGTCAGGCAGCATAAAAATATTTAACAGCGTGTGCTCAAAGACAAACTAGTTGAAAAATCATCAGGCACAATGGGAGTATTCTTTTAAAAATAGATTTAAATAGGATTTTTCTTAGAAGATATTTAAATAGTTTAAAAAAAAAATCAAATACTCTTTTTATTATCCCTGTAGACCAGAGTAAACTTTCTAGACGTAAAATTCCATGCTAGGGCCTGGCCAGTTAGCTCAGGTGTTTAGTGTGTGGTGTTGATAACAACAAGGTCCAGCGTTCAAGCCTTGTTCCTGGCCAGCTGCCAAGAAAAAACCTCCACGCTAGACTTACACTATGATTTATTGTTCAATTTTACTGCCACTTCTAAAAAGATCATAATTCACCAAGAGTTTGCTTTGTATCAATGCTTCTCAAAGTGTGTTCCTCACTACTAGATATCTTAAAAGGAAAGTTCTAACTACTAGATATTTTAAAAGGAAGGTACTATGGTAAAATATATTTGGGAAATACTACGTTAAACTAAGTTAACCAGGTTTCTTTACTAAAGAAAAATATACATCCCAGAATCTAAAAAGTAACTTCATTTTTCTTCCAGGTGAAAGAAGAGACTCACTGAAAAAAAAATCTATTTGCTTTATGTCAAATAATTCATTTAGGTGGAACCTAAATCTAAATAAAAGTTTTCTCTCTATTTCTCATAAAAATCTGGCACCCATTGTCAAGATGTTGTCAATTTATTTTTTAATGCTTTTGTGAGAGGAAAGAACATTTCATTTCTGAGAACTGCTCCTTGAATAACCCATTAAATTAAAAAGGTCAGGCAAATAAACTTTCTCTTTCCTCAAGAAAAATAAAGCCATACAATTTATTAAGGGTGGTTTAGCAAAGGACAGAAATGAATATTTTAAAAAATATATTTAAAAAATGATATAAGTAGATGTCAGTGGCATGACCTAGTGTTCAAGTTGGCAGTATTAATGCATATCTGATCACATATGGGAGAATTCTTCACACTATGTACAAATTTTTCCCAAAGCAGAAGCCATACAAATGGCAGCCGTAGGTGAATGGGAAAGTTAAAAGTGATAATGCTTTTGCTATTTAATATGTATACAGGGTAGAGAAGTAGCCTTATAAACTAAGCAACTACTACTGAAAGGTTAGATAATGTGCAGGTACTGCCAACTCAGGACTTACAAAGTTGTAAATAAAAACTATAGTTTTTTACACCTTTGCTGTTAATTCCATGAAGATTATCTAGTAATGTATGTCCAATGTGTTAATGTGTCCAAAATTTTAAGAATGTTTAAAAGTATATTTGAAAACATAAATTTTATCAAATTAAACCCAAAACAATTTTCATTGATTAATTTTTTTTTTCCTTAAAGCAAAATGGTTTTAAAGGTTGTTAGTACATACAGTAATGTCACAGGTACCTCATACAGGCAAAATCCCATTATATCAAATCTCAAAGCAATACAAGTTTCTCTGTTGATACGAATTCTGGAATGATAATTAGATTATAAGAAATTATATTCCTAGAGTGAAGGACTCTGCAAAGAATGAAGAGGGGACGAGATAAGAGCATTTTGGCCTAAAAAATGGTAAGGGGACACACACACCTTCATTCTGACCTTCTTCTCTTCCATGTTTTTAGCCTTTGCTACAGTTTGGTTTTAAAAGATGATTTATATGTTTAGGTGGGCCTGTTTTTGGTGGCAGAAGTTGGTATGCCTGCAAAGTATGAGAGTAGGTGAAAGGTAACTACTGCTCGATAGGGTAATAAAACAAAGAATTGGGTGCAGCTAAAATCTCTTCACTCCGCTCAGTTCAGCTTTCTCCCCAACCTTGTCTAAAAGGTTAACACTCCATACACAAACACTTTCAAAAATAAGGAAATAAAGTCTAGAAAAATAAAGCGGTGCATTATTTGTAATAAGATCTGAAAAACACTGCTCTTGAGAGCCAACCTCTAGAAGAGAAATAGCTGTTTCATAAAATGCATCCTTTTCCAGATATTTACTGTTACATCTATTTTCCCCCAAATGCTGTTACAAAATGGAATATATAAAAGAAAATTCTAGGAAAGCTTATAGTTTCCAAATCAGACATAATGAAAGCTATGGAACTATGTCTTAAAATAACTGATGTGACATATAAAATCATGCACTGTATTAGTAGAAAAAAGAACATGAGCCTCACAGGGCTATTAAACTTAAAAAAAAAAATTTGGCATTATGAAAAGAAAAAAGCTGGCAACATTTGTTAAAAGCTTAAATAAAACTTAAATGACCAAGATTAAAAATAGAAAAGCTTCCAATACAAGAAATAGGCTCTCACACATGTTCAGAAACATACCCGCCTTCTACAGAACCTATGAGGCGATCCTCCCTTAGCAATGAAGTTTATCAAAAAAAAAAAAAGAGAGAGAGAAAAATCATCCAAAAACTGTAAATGTAACTAAGTATTAAACTTATAATAATTAAAATAGATGTATTATACTGAATTATTTATATTATTCATTATTTATATTAATCTGCAAAATTATAGAATCTGTGCATTTCTTATCCCTAAGAGATTGGCCAGTGATAAAAATAAACTCATCAAATAAATATATTAATATACTAAAGAATTATTTTTAATATAAACAAATGCTACTGAAATATTTTTTCTGCAAAAATGTCTACCATTTCCTTTTTCTATATTATAATTTTAATGGAAAATTAGAAATGACTTCAGCATTCAGTGGATAGTTCCAAAAAGAATACTCTAATAAAAGACTGGAGGACAAAACAAAAATAGCTATAGAATTATTCCAAATCAAAATTACTCACAAACAAATAACTTTAATACCTTAAAGACATTTTAGGCTTCAAAATTGCATTATATATGTACAGTATGACCAAAAAACAGTTTATGAAAGTACATAATTACATGGGAGCATAAGATAAAAAAAGTCGTATTAACATAAGAATAAAGAATATCCAGTGAATCTTACCCTCTGTTCCAACGCTGACTGCGTCTGTTGTCTTAAAAGAGCTTTAAATGGCCCCCCTTCTTTTCCAGCACTACCACTTCCCATTCCTATAGAACATCAGCAAATATGTAACCAAAAAAAAAAAAAAAAGAAAAAAAGCAACTATAGAAACAAAGTTTAATTGCATTCTTCTTTATAAATATCATGAGTCAAAATATGATAAAATGACCCAAACATTTACAGTATCTGGGATGACAACTAACGCATATATTTTACTCTATTTTATCCAAAAGTTTTCTTTAGAAGCAAGATGTCAAAGTCCTACTGACACAGCTAGTTTTAGATTTCATTTGTTCTAAATATTATAAGAAAAATTATGTTAAGGTGATAAATCTTTGCATAATACTCCATTTTTAAAAGTTGAGTCTTCTAACAAAAAATAACAATTGCTTACTATGCTAACAATTTAACAATATGAAAATAAGAGAAATATTAAATGTCAGATTAAAAGTAGAGAAGAAAAGCACTAATTGTGCTTACTTAAAATATTCCAAAATTCTCTAAGAACATGAAATTTTAGGTGATTTTGAAAAATAGTCAAATCTATTTTCTAATAACTTCCCATTTCTAAACATATCATGACAAAACAGGATTAATTTCATAGTCATCAATGCTCATTCACAAAAATCAACATAAATTTAAAAAACCAAAAACCTAAAAATCACATACATGTAATAGACACATCACAAATGTACACAGTTATGGATGAAAGAATTATATTTCCCAGACTCCTAGATGTATTTTTTAAGGCTTAAAATTAAATTTCTTTCCCTACCTCATTTTATTGTTTTGATAATACCAATATATCAAGTATTGTCAAAGAATTATAGAAAGCAGGGGACAGGTGAGAAGCCAGTGCTCTAAAGACTAGAGTTTATCCCACCATTTCAAAATTGAAGACGCATATAGTCATATTTACTACAATGACTTAAAATGAAACTAATTTACTTTTACATTTTTAGCTGTTCTTGGATAAGGAAACAAAGGTTAGCATGTGTATAGTCCCATTTTGTTCCTTAAAACAAAAAAGAAATTTAGTTTTCTTATAGCAACCTGAACATTATTTTTAGAGACTATACAATACTAAACACAGAAATGAAATTAAGATCTTTATATAAGGCATACTAAAAGCCACAAAATAAAATGTAAATTTGTAGTGATAAGTGAAATATCACAAAATATAGAAGAATAATTTGATAATTAATGCAATGGACAGAAAAAAATAGATAATGAAAGAATATCACCGAAATGAGATTTAAACTGATTCAAATAGAATAATTTATTAACGTAACCACATGGTTTAGCAAAATGATGATGGTACAGTTCCCATGTAAATGGAGTTGGTATGAAGGGAAAGAAAGTAAAGCATCTAAAACAGAAACCCTGGTAATATGAACCTAGTAATTATTAGAAATATCCAGATCTATGTCCACAGACATATAATTTTTTAATATATGATAATTTAGCAGAATATTCATACTTATCCATCAAGTAATATTCAATTACATCCTTATGACAATTCTGATCATTTAACTCTATTTACCAGTAAGAAAAGTAATAAAAATACATCCTGTATAAAATATCCAATAATTCTTTATAGAATAAAATTTTTTTTCAAAGATGATGTAAAATAAAGGGATTCAAAAGCTGACATATTTGATCCTACCAGAAGCAGCCAGGAACAGCTCTTCACTGAAAGAAACACTTTTCCTCAGAACTGGGCTGACAAGGCTAGAATGATGAGGGGTAAGGCTAGATTCCGAGAGGAGGAGACAGGACTTTTTAAGATGAAGGGAACCACAAGAGAGAGAGGGGGAGCTGGGACACAGGTAAATCCTAGGTCCCTGTGGGTAAGATGCTGTGGAGGAAAGTAGCAGAGAAAAGATGCAGATTCAGAAGATGATCAGAAAATGCAGGATAAGGAAAGCAATGATGAAGCAAAACATAACAATAAAAATGAACTTTAAATGTATAGACAAACTACACTAAGCATATAAAAAGTCACTAACTAGCGAGACTGTCTATCCAACGTAATGTAAATAGGCATAGTCTAAAAGGTTAACAAAACCTTCAAAAACTTTGCATTCATTGAAATTTTTGAAATCACTACTTTAGGATTTTATGCCATTCTAATAATTAACTGACTTCTTCAAAATAGTTAAATTACCTGCCCTTTTTTTGCTTAGAATTTGTAAGGTTAAAACGTACCACATTTTCAAATGTTTAAAGCCAAAAATTTGTTGCCAAAAAAATATAAACACTAATTTTAAGTAGAAAAGTACAGGTGCTGGCTGGTTAGCTCAGCTGATTAGAGCATCACCTTGTAACACCAAGGTCAAGGGTCTGGTCCCCATATTTGTCAGCCACAAAAAAAAAAGGAAGTGGTAAAGTACAGTATCTGAAAAGTTACTAGACAGCATTTATGGATATTTTAATTGAGTACCCATAAAAAACAATCAAATACTCAATACTACATAATGTATACTGTTGTCATTAATAATTTTAAATAAATACTAACTTCTTTCTGTCCTTTGTGATATACATTAATAATTTTCCATCTGCTCTAAAATTTTTAATACTTAGATCTAATCATACTACTGTTTGCATTTACAGAGATTTAAGAACCCGAGGGTTAAATATTCTCTGGATCACAAAAACTATATATGGCTAAAAGCCTGACTAAAAAAGTAACAATTAGCTTAAATCAAAAATAAAATCAGGGGTTGACCAGTAGCTCACTTGGGAGAGCCTGGTGTTGATAACACCAAGATCGAGGGTTCAGATCCCCATACTGGCCAGCAAAAAAAATTAAACGACAAAAAAAAAGATGTCAAATCAATATTCTAACACTAGCAATCTAAAATTCCAATCCTATTAGTTGAGTACTTGGGAAAAAACATAAAAATAAAGCTTTGTAAAATGTCAAAAATTTTGGGGCCGGCCCGGTGGCGCACTGGATAGTGCTCCGCTTGGGAGGCACGGCGGCGCTCCCGCCCGAGGGTTCAGATGCCACATACAGACCGGTTCCCGCTCACTGGCTGAGCGAGGCGTGGGAGCAACGCCGAGGTTTGCAATCCCGTTGCCAGTCCCCGGTCCGGTCCGGGGGCAACACTGAGGGTTGCGATCCGTTGCCGGACACGGAAAAAAGACAAAAGACAAAAAAAAAAAAAAAGTCAAAAATTTCAATCTATAGAAACAAATGTAAAATTTTTTAAAAGAAAAGACCTACCAGAAAAACACACAACAGCTTTAACTACAAGAAAACAACTTTCTTAGTCTAAGCTTTATTAATTTTATTCTATTTTTGGCTTCACAGTTCACATTATAATCAGCTTATCTCTTCCCAGTATTTCTCAAGACACTAGTTTTGCATACAGGTAAATTAGAAGACAGAGAATCATAAAATACATACAAAGTTACAGTTTTAGAAATTTTAGAACAATGATTATTTGCCATTTTAAGTCTCTATAAGAAATAGGAACGTTCATCAGGACTATTCGAGGATAATTAGGGACTCATGATAAGGCCAAGGGGCTAAAAATTGCTAATATTCTGAAAATAAGATATTGAGGTAATGAATAATTACAGGCAAAACAAAATAATTTATTTACAGGCAGCTTACAAATATAAAAATACATAAGATTACCTCATTTGTAAATAAATTCTTAAAAACTAAAAATTTGGAAATAGAAGATAAAATGCAAAGAAGTTTTCATAGATAATACAATTGATTGCCTACTAGCAAGCTAAGGGAAAAAAGTCTAGTTCAGTTAACTTATTATTTGACAATCTTCCTTAGGCTTGGCCTTTTTGATGAATTAAAGAAAAAGAAAGACCAGGGAAATACTTTCAAAACTTTATCTGTGGTGTGGTGGAGGAAAATAATAAGGAGAATTGAAAAGTGGCCTGGAATACACAGTAGACCAAAGCCTCAAAAAACAAAAACAAAAAAATTTTTTTTGGCATCCAAACCCTTGACCTTGGTGTTATAACACTATCCTCTAACCAACTCAAAAATTTTCCTAATAAAATTTATTCTTCAAATACTATCCTAAGTCATTCTTGTTTGGATTGTCCTAAATTTTAAGGCCAGAGACTCTTATTCTTTATTTTAAAAAAATTTTTTTTCATTACAATTGAAATGGCTCAATTTTTATGGCATAAATATGGTTAAGATGGCACATTCCAAAGCATCCATTACTATCAAATAGTACATTATTTTTGGATGTTACTCACAATTATGTGTATGTAAAAATAGAGCTATTATCTTCAAAGAAATAGATGTTCATAATTATCTTCTTTATATCTTGTAACTACATTTATAAATATAGAAATTAAATATACAGGCTTTTAAAAAATGCCCTTTCTAAATGAAGTAGCACTGGTTTGGAATTAGATTTCTTTCACTGTTTTCATAAAAGTTGGGATCATTTTATAAATTTCTTTTCTAGAACAAAAATAAGGTAATTAAAGATGATAAGTTAAAAACAAAGCAATTTAATCAATCTGATGGAAAAATTGCCAAACAAAAATACTATTTATAAAAATTGCAATCCATTCACTTTTAAAATTTTTTATTTAAGTTTGCTTAAGAATAATAATTCAATTATCTAAGTTAATTCTCTTGTAAGGAGTAAGAAACTAATTTGATTTTTTAATCAACTTTTTCTCATACAGCATATTCATAAAAACCCACAGAGATTATTCATCAAAATACAAATAGGTGAGGGGAAAAAATTACAAACTTAACAAATTGAGAAATATTCAAGAATAAGTAAAGCAAAAATGCTATTTTCTAACTTAGAGAGTAAGGCCTAACAAAAATCAAACATTTTAAATAACAAGTTAAGAAACAAATACATGTACTCCAACATAACCATTTCAGTTGTTCTTAAGATTTTTTTTCATAATAAAATCTTAGAATTAAATTCAGAAATAGGCAGAAACCATTCAAAAATGCTTATACTGCATGAGGAATTTGACTACAAGCTACTAGTGTAACTTTCTTTTCAAATGCATTAAGATGTCATTCCATAAATTTGAGCATGAAATGAAAAATGCCTACCCACAAAAATCTTGAACTTGATATCTCTACACTATGATCAAATTAACGAAACACAGATCTCCAAACAAGATAATTTCACAACTATCCAAAATTTTCATATTTTAATTACAGTAACTGAAAATAATCAGTATTCACATTATCTTTCAACTTAAATGCCAAAAACAGGAGGAAAGATTGGTATGGAAAGCTAGTAAGGAACAGAAACAAATTTTAAAAAAAGAAAAAATCAAAAGGTGGGTGGAAGTGCCTTACCAGTTTTGGGTGTCAAACTCAAATCTGTGTCAGAAGAAGAGGACTGTCGACTGTAGGACTTGGAAGGTGAAAAGGAATAAGTTTGGTTTTTCAGAGGGGTTGAGGGTCCTGATGAGTGAGTATTGGGATTGGGATCTTCATTGAAGGGAATCCTGCCAGAAGAAGGTGGAGAAATATTAAGTAATCATGTGCCAAAGGGCTTGACAGTTGGCAGCATGATCCAAACACCAGGAAAGTATTGGGGCAGGGCCAGCAGTCATTTCTTAAGTGTGGAGCTGGGAATGAGGCCAAAGACAACCAATTCCTGTTTAACCATTCATCATTCTCCAGATAAATATCATCTGCACTGAAAGTCAAAATGCCAAGAGAAAAAGCAAAAAAGCATGAAATGACAGACTAAGGAGGTAAAAAATATTAAAAGGAGAAATAAAAAGAATAAATATATGACAAAATGTTTTCAAAAAACAATGCTTTAACTTACAAAAGAAAAAGTGATAACTACAAATGGTGTGTGGTGTGTGTAAATATTCATAATTGCTTTTATATTTGCACACACAGAGATATCTTCAAAAGAAAAAAAATGTTTCCTTATCCTATAGCATCAAGAGTGCCACAGCTAAAAACACAGGAGAGAGGAAAATAAATATAGCTACACAAAAACATTTCATTTAATGTAGAATAGTTGCTTACCTGTTTTCCAATAGCTCTCTTCCACAGAGTTAAACAGACCCTACTGTAACAGGTTTTGTACATAAAGAAAATAAGCAAATCAGAATCTTTGGCAGCTATTTTGTTTAGAATTTAATCATCAATTTTATTTCTAAACAAATGCAGAAATAATTGCAAAAATATATACTGGAGGATTCTCCTCAAAATTTACAGTACACATATACAAAAGAGGGTTCTTAGAGGATCTGTGGAAGAGACTTTGGAAGCTGAAGGAACACTTTCACTTCCATATAGTTAGAGCCTCTTTGGTGGCTACATACAGAAGTTCTTCACTGCAGCTGGACTTCAAGTAGGAAAAGGAGGAAGCAAAGATGTATGGTACCTGCCTACGCTACCTGCCTGCCTGCCTCTGCAGCCACTCTGCCCGTGGCCTGCCTCTCCCCAGCTCTGGAGTCTGAGCAGTCTCGTACCAGTATAGATGAGAGTGGGAACAGACACAGAGAAGTTCTGAGTAAGTCGTGAGCCAGTAGCAGTATGAATTGGGCTGTTGTGAGTCGAGCGGCATCCATGGCTTGGAGGATGGACCAGCGGAGACCTGAGGGAATTTGTGGTCAAAGTGGAAGAAAAGAAAACAATACATACAACAGATTGCAAATGTTAAAATAATTTCAAAGGCGCTTTAGTTAGGGGAAAGAACTTATTTTTTTAATCCCTAGCATGCAAAAAATAAGTTGAAATTAAAAAAGAATAGCTAAATATTAATTTGTTAGGATACAGTTATAGTTTTAAAGGATAAGGTTAATAAATTAAGACCGTGAGTAAGAAAAACAGCAAGCAGAATAATCATGGACTTAAATATGAAAAAGACTAAGATTTGGATTTTAAGTTGCTTTAACACTGTTGTTATTCTGATCACAATAAATTTACTGTGCAGTATTTACAGGGTGGGGGACACCCATAAAAATGAAAAGTCAAATACAGAGTTCTCATATTACTTTTGAAACTGAGTATGAAGTAATTACTAATATAATTAATCATATTTTTCTGTAAGGAAAATTGAACTAACTACTGTTTCTGTCTAAAATCTCAAGATAGGCGTACTTAAGCATATAAAAAAGTGACAGCATAAAGAGACATGAGTGAACTGAACGGATATAAGCAGATATACTCAATTGAAGTATTTCAATACACCAAATATATTGCCTAAAACTAGGTTACAATGGAAACAAAATAAAGGGAAGACTGCTTTTAAAAACACATTATTAAAGCAATGTGAATGATTTTATCTAGTTCTCATACAGAATATACTATACAAACCACCATTCTGAATAGAAATTTTTTGAGATATCAACTCATCCTGCAATAATCACAACTGTGTATGTGCATAGATATACTTAGACATACAAATATATATTCATATATAACATGTAAAATTTTCAAGAAGAAAAATTTGGCTAGAAGAGTTACACTGAATGCAGTAAAAGGTATATTACATAAATAAGAATCCTGGACTTCATATTAACAATTATTTCACTGTACAATGCCTTTGCTTATGCACACAGGGGAAAAAGAATCATAATGTGAGAATGCTCTGAAAAACTAACATATCCCTATTTTTTTAGAATTCAAATTAAAGGCAGGTCAAGATTCCAACTTTTCCTGACCTTTTTTTCCTTTTCCACTGCTGTACTATTATTCCCACTAATCACAATTTTCAAGGTTCGAAAGTGAGCTATCGCTAATTGGACCTAATGGTTTTTCCTAGGGTCTACAGACTACTTTTTGGAAATATTACTGATTTTACAATAGGACAAGTGTTTTTGCTTTTGTTGCTAATAAAAATTAAAATTGCATTTGCTATAACTGATAAAAATCAAACATCTCATTGTGATCTATTTTTATACAAACTGAGTGAGGTTTGGGTTTTGTTTTTTTTCCTCTCTGAAGTAAGAAAGGCTAAGAAGTCTTAGACCTAAAATTCTTAAGAAGTCTAAGAATCACTGCTGTACACAGGAGAAATTACAGCTAAAGTCTCTTAGCAAGCACTTTTTTTTTTAAGTAGAGAAGTGATAAGTTATATTTAGAAGCACTTACTATCACCAAGAGAATTCAGCTAGTAAACGCCAAAGGGATTTTATATTGTGTATTACACTTAACATCTAAAAGGAAAAAATAAACTTATGAAGTAGAACATATCATTAATTTAGGTAAAATAAAAGGAATAAAATTAAATGAACAATGTAAAATGCTCAAATTATGACATCGAATTAAAATTCAAATACACTGGAGCATCATCATAATGTATTCATGAAGTCCTAATTCTATCAGTCTCCTTGCATGAAAGGTTGCCTCACAGTAACACCGTTGTGGTATTCTAATATCAAATTCATTTAGACATGAATATAATCTAAACTACCTTTTATCAAATTTATACCTAGAATCAATAATGTTATGTGATAATCAAATACCAGAACAGTTACAATCAGTTGAATTATAAAATAGGGTTTTGAAATAACACCCCAATTGATCCATTACCGAAAATATAATGAAGCTAGTTGAAATAAAGCAGTCTGAGCACTAAGGGTTTTTGTTGTTGTTTTTTTTTTTTAAATAATATGACTTAGGTAGCAAGATGTCTTTCAGAAAATCCTAATGATATAACTTAAATTCTTCATGGTGTGAATGTTTGAAAATTTAAGGCAAATGGCTACAACAAAATCAGAAAAGGAAAAAATTTACACAATCCCAGAAGGTTTCCATGGAACTCTTCCTGAATGCATACAAAACATATACCCCTGCTATCCATATCTCATTCTTAGACACCAACAGGTAATATAGCTTGCTTGCTTTCCACTAAATAACTTACTTAAATTTGCATTTCACTTAAGTATGCTACAGAGAAAGGAAAAAAAAAGATCTGAATCCCTCAAAAAGTTATAGCTACAATCTGTCACTACCTGTAGCAGCTAGCAGTTCATATATTTCTAGGAGATATTTTAAATGGAATACCTGTATAAAGCAAATTCACTCTTCAATGTATTTAAAACAATTATTTCATTTGTCAGTGTGTTTCTAAATAAAACTAGGCCATATGCAATACTATGTTCTCTCTTGTGAATAAAATTTAACCCAAATGACCAAAAGCCAGCAGGAAGGAAATAGCTAAACAAAAAGAATAAGCTTATATAAAGAGGAAAATCTCATTCTAAAAAGGATTATTAAAAAAAATTTTTTTTTAAAGATTGTGCTTGCTAAACTGGGAAACATTTTAGGTTTTCTGACTATAGAATTCTGAATTCCTCATGATCTAGAACAGGGGTCAGCAAACTACAGACTGCAAGCCAAATCCATTCTGCCATCTGTTCTGTAAATAAGTAAGTTTTATTGGAATATAGCCACACTTTTGTTTGCATACTGTCTATGGCTACTTTCGTGCTACAATGGCAGTTATGTAGTAGCATCAGCAAAAACTAAGTTATTTACCTGTATCATGTGCTCATTTACAGAAAAAGTTTGCCAATCCTTGATCCAGAAGAATCTCTAGATCAGTGGTCCTCAATGGAAGTACTATTGGCATTTAAGATAGAACAAGTCTTCATTGTGAAAGGTTGTCTATTGCTGCCTATGACGGTCAACATCTCTAGTCCCCAACAGGACCTACCACCCCTTTCCCAATCATCATGACAGAAAAACCTTGTTCCAAACATTCTGTGTTGACAGTACCATCACCAACATGTTGAGAATATCTGCCTTTGACACAAATCAATGACACATAGGCCAAATCCAGCCAACAGAGGTGTTTTGCTGAATCACACAGTTTTTAAAAAACGTCTAAGTCTAAATTCCTTTAGATCAGGGATCAGCAAAATCTCTTTTTTTTTTTTAAAAATAAATAAAGACAGAGACTATATGGCCAGTGCCTGAAATATTTACTGTCTGGCCTTTTAGTTTTTAAAAAACGTCTAAGTCTAAATTCCTTTAGATCAGGGATCAGCAAAATCTCTTTTTTTTTTTTTAAAATAAATAAAGACAGAGACTATATGGCCAGTGCCTGAAATATTTACTGTCTGGCCTTTTATAGAAAAAGTCTGCCAACCTCAACTTTACATGGACCCCAGTATTCCCTATTTAATTACACCCAATTATTTATATAAACTGCCTGGCTTCCATAGACACTTAGAGTTTGAGACTCCTGTACAAGTCAGTCTTTCCTGCTTTATACACTGTGTTGCCAATAATAAGCATAATTGGATTGTCAGGTAGGTTTTAAGCATTCCTCCAGAAAATAAGTAAAATTCCACCCACTGTATAAATATTCATTTTCTTCTTTACATATATAGTATCTAAATATCTGGAATAAGTCTCATTTTTACATTATTTGTCATATTAAGATGGTATAAAAATATTAGAAATATCTAAATATGTTTAAGTTTTAGATTTTGACAGTCACCTCTGACAAGAAGAATCATAGTAGGAATAAATGTATGTTGAGTAACCCTACTAAAATGTTTTGTATCAAATGAAAATGCGTAAGTAAAAGATAAAAAATCTCCATAAGAAGAATTTCATGAATTCATACTTACTCCTTCATTTCTTTGGATGGGGAATTACAAGCAGGAAGGAATGCTGCTGGGCTACTTAATTTATCCAGAGTACACGCTGTTCCTATGGCTCGTACCACTAACCCAGACTCGCCCTCCAGATCAAAACACTGTAAGTACCCAACAACTGCATTTCCTCTCATTTCGAGTACTTTCAAGCCAATCTTCCTCTGCAGTTCACCTACAAAAAAAGGAAGAAAACTCATTCTTGCTTCATATCTCTCCATTATAATACTATGCAGCTGGATATAGTAGTGATAGAAAATAAGTCAAAAAAAAAAAAAAAAAATACCTGACATTAGAGAAATTAGTCTTTGTCTGGCCTCATTTGATGCCCTGGGTGTGCGAATTCGATCAATCCACTGATATTCTGGGTCTTCATTGACCACCAGTTCTTCAACAAATCCATGAATTATCACAGCTCTATAGCACTTTGGAATAGATGTTGCTGTTAAAATAAATTGTCGATTATTCTTTGGTTTATCAGAGGGTAAAATTCAATTTTTAAAAAAATGTACATATTTTAAGTTCCTACCTTTTGGATACACTCGTATAATACAAGAACATCTTTTACTGTAATAATCTCAATGTAATTATACTACTACTACTTCTAACTAAACAGTCTTCTAAGATCATCTCATTCTTAGAAATGATCATTTTCTTTCATAAGGCCTCTCACCTTTTCTTATGTAAGCATGATAAACATAAATTGTATTTTTATAATTAGGAAAACAGCTATAAATAGACTACCTTAAATAGAATTCAATACAAAGTGTAAAAAATCAAAAATAAAGTCAGCTAGCTAATTATTATTATAAGACTAGGTAGACAGAAAATAATGAATAAAAAATATTTAATTATTCAAAGGCCTTTACAAAAGTTCTGTACACCACATACTGCAGCCTCAAAAATTAAACCATTACCTTTCTGACATAACCAGAGGAGTCATACAGCCCTATAGTTTCCAGTAATCCATGGACATATGGGCATTGGTCAGGAGTCACTGAAAAACTTAATAGACTCATTTAATTTGTAGTCATTTAAGATCCATTTAAATCCAAATGTCATTGGATTTAAACAACATCTAGTCATTTTCAAAAAGGGGAGAACATAAGAACATCTACACTGAACTAGTCTCTTAACATACATAGTGGTATACTGAAGCTAACTCAACTACTTAGGGGTTTTCTTTTTATTTTTTTTTAATTGAAACATAATTGATTATACATATTTATGTGGTACAGAGTTGACTATAAGTATTTGTGTACAATGTGTGATGACTGAATCAATATTATTGGCATGTTCACCATTACAAATTGTAATTATTGTGTCCCTTATCCAATTACTCCTTAACCTCCCCCCTCCCACCTCTAGTAACTATAGGTCTGTTCTCTCCTTCTGAAAGTTCAACATTTTACTGTAGGTGGCTGGCCAGCCGGCCGGCCAGCCAGCCAGCCAGCCAGCCAGCCTTCCTTCCCTCCTTCCTTCCATTGCGGTCTGAAAACATACTTGACATGATTTCGGTCTTTTTAAATTTGTTGAGACTTAATTTGTGGCCTAACAAGTAGTCTATCCTGGAGATTGACCCATGTGCTGATGAGAAGAATGTATATTCTGTCGTTGTTGGACGAAATGTTCTGTATACACCTGTCAAGTCCATTTGGTCTAAGGTGTTGTTTAAATTCAGTATTTCTCTGTTGATTCTTTGTCTAGATCTGTCCAATGCTGACAGTGGTATGTTAAAGTCCCCAACTATTACTGTGTTAGGGTCTGTCTCTACCCTTAGATCCAATAACAGCTGCTTCATATATGTGGGTGCTCCAATGTTGGGTGCATAAATATTTATGATTGTTGTATCTTCTTGCTACATTGATCCTTTTATCATTATATAGTGTCTTTGTCTCTTTTTATAGTTCTTGGTTTGAAACCTATTTTATCTGATATAAATATGACAACTCCTGCTCATTTTTGGTTTCCATTTGTGTGGAATGTCTTTTTCCATCCCTTCACTATTAGCCTACACATGTCTCTATTGGTGAGGTGAGTTTCTTGCAGGCAGCATGTAGTCTAGTTTTATAACCCATTTAGCTAGTCTATATCTTTTAAGTGGGGAATTTAGTCCATTTACAGTCAAGGTTGTTATTGAAAGGTACTGCCTTATTCCTGCCATTTTATTCATTTCTCTATGGTTGCTTTATATATCTTTTCTTCCTTTCCCTTTTATTATTTATCTTTGCTGTTGGGTGTTTTCTTGGAGTGATAAAATACATTTTGGTTTCCTTTCTCATTTGCATATCTGCTCTACTAGTGATTTTTATTCTTTCTTGTGTATTTGTGGTGACATATATCTCTCTTTTGATTCCAGATGTAGGATCCCCTTGAGGAGTTGTTGAAGGGCCAGTCTTGTGGTGGTGAATTCCCATAGAATCTGGTTGTCTGGGAAAGATACTATTTCTCCAATTCTGAAGGAAAGCTTTGCTGGACATAGTATTCTTGGTTAGCAGTCTTTTTCTTTTAGCACTTCATATGTCATCCCACTCTCCCACTCTCTCCTGGCCTGTAGGGTTTCTGTTGAGAAGTTTGCTGATAGCCTAATGGGGATTCCCTTATAGGTAATTTGATGCTTTTCTCTTGCTGTTTTTAGAATTCTTTGTCTTTGACTCTTGATAGTGTGTCTATAATGCGTCTCGTGGAGGTCTTTTTCGGGTTGCATTTGTTCAGAGATATTTGAGCTACTTGAATCAGTAAGACCATGTCTCTCCCAATACTGGGGAAGTTGTTATCTATTATTTCATTAAATAGGCTTTCAAGGCCTTTTCATTTCTCTTCCCCTATCTGTACACCTATAATATGGATGTTTGTATGCTTAAGGTTATCAGAAAGATTTTGCAGGTTTTCTTCATTTATTTTTAAATTCTTTTTTCTTGGTCCAACTGTGTTAATTCAAAAAGTCTGTCTTCTAGTTCTGAGATTCTTTCCTCTGCTTGTTCTAGCCTGCTGTTTATGCTCTCGGTTGCATTTTTTATTTCTTTGAATGAATTCTCCAGTTCCAGAATTTCTGGCGTGATTTTTATTGTTTGTATCTCTTTGTTGAATTTCTCATACATGTCCTTGAATTTCTTTTGGACTCTGTTGTGATTTCTATTTTTTTCGTCCATTTTTCTATTTTTTTGAGTTTCCTTAGTACTGACCTTTGGGATTCCCCCTCAGTAATTCATCGATTTCCTGTTGTTTGGGGTCTGGTATTGGAGAAGTGTAGTCTTGTTTTGGGGAAGTCAAGCTTTCCTGTTTTTCCACACTTCTTGTATCTCTACACTGACATCTAAGCATATGGTGGCATGGACACTTCTTTTAATTCAAGGAGTAGTTTTTGAAGGGGGAGACTCTTTCCTGTAGAAGTAGTCTATATTTACAGTTGGGCTGGGCATTTTAAGTTTGAATCTGGGTGAGTGCAGTAGTATGGCCTTCCTGTGACAACTTCAACTGTATTCAATCTTAGAGTTGTCTGTGGGTGCATTATGGCCTAGGCAGTGAGATTCTTGGCAGTTTCTTGTTGGGGTGGGCTTCTTGTTGGGGTGGGTAATCCATTGTTGTTCAGTAAGCAGACATGCACTGTTGGCAGTAGGTCCTGGTACTTCTATAGAGGGCCACTGGCCCAGTTGCTGAGCTTGGAGCAAGTCTGTATCAATGGTGCAGGACCCCATGGCTTTCTAGAGGCTTTCCATAAGGAGAAAAAGGTACTACCTAATCAGCTGTTGGTTTAGGATTAGGTGCACACAGCTGTCACAGGGCCTGGCAGCTCTGCAGGTGGCCGCCTGATAAGCTGTTGAGCCTTATGCAAGTGAGGTGAGGCTCACTGAGGCCAGCAGTTCCACAGAGGTATCAGAGCCCCTACCTTGTCTGCTGTAGATCTGAGAGCAGATATACACTGAAGCAACAGGTCCTGGGAGCTCAGCAGAGGAACACTAGCTCAGCTATTGAGACTAGAACAAGGCTGTATGAATGATGCAGGACCCAGCAGCTCTGTGGAGGTGTGCTGTAGGAAGGAAAAGCTACTACCCAATCAGCTACTGAGCCTGATGCAAGCCTGCTAGGGTGGAGCCAAGGTCAGCAGCACTATAGAGGCCTGCCTTGGGGAGAGGGAGCTGCATGTGTTCATATTTTGGGGTCTCAGTCTTTCTGTCTGTCCTAGGATCCAGGCAGCCTGTGCCTTGGTCCACCGGAGCTCAAGGGAACATGGTAGAATGCAGGCAGGGCCTCCAGACAAACGACTTCAGCCTTGCTGGGTCCAGCACAGGGATCTAAGTTTCAGATAGCTGAGATTGAAGTGCTGCCGGTGCCCTTGGGAGTGTGTAGAGGGTTGTGAACAGAGGCGGGGCTCCGATGAGCTAGCTGTGGGTTGTGTGGGCACTTGTGGGTTTAGCCACCATGGGCCGTGCAAGGCGGGCCGTTAACATGGGGAACAACTGTACTTTAGTGGATTTTCTGCTCCACAAGTCTGTCTGCTCACCTGGCAGGAAGGAGTACTGTGTGGGTTCAGATGCCTGGGTCTTGGTCTTTCTGTCTGTCCTAGGCTCCAAGCGGCCTGTGCCTTGGTCCTTTTGGCACCCAAGTGAGTGCTGTAGAATGCAGACAGTGCCTCCAGACAAGGGCAGTTTGGCTCCCATGTGGTGCTGCATCTCAGCCACTCAGAGCAGGAGCAGTTAATCTCTATGGGCTTTCACTATGAGACTGCAGCCACACTAGTTCCCAGCTACTCTCCAACTGCACCTGGGTCCTGAAAAGATTGGGGGGGACTCCCTTGAGGCAGGGATTACTGGCATTTATGGTGGCAGTGGGAATAGCTGGGGTCTTTTCCAGCTTACCTTCTCTCTACCTAGTTCCAGGCCAGTCCCTGCGATGGAGCTGAGGCAGGATGTCCTGCTCTGCTCTCTATGCTGCCTTTCTCTTTTTCTGTACTTCATAAGGATCACCTCACTTTTCCAATGCTCTGCACAATGTTTCCTCACGTTCAAGTCAAAATATATTTGTGTGTTGTTTTGGTCTTTTTTTTTATGGGGAAGGAACTAGCACCAGACCTCTCTAGTCAGCAACCTTGGGAAGCTCCAGTATTCTTTAGTTATCTTAGGGGTTTTCATTCCTACTAATACAAGCTGGCTGTGAGTCATCCAGATCTGCCCAATTCAGACCCATATATTTCATGGAGTTCTTGGGGATCCACACCTGTAGAATCTTTCGTAATCTGGCACAGCACCACAGTGTTTGGCTATAGTGTTCTGCTCCTATCTTTTAGTGTCCTATACAATCCAATAAAATATCACTGGATTTTTCTAACAAAAATTTCCATAAGCTTGCAAAAATTAGGTACCATTTACTTTAAAATCAGATAAATAGTCCTAGAGCTATAGTAATTGTTCATGAAAAATTAACTATTTTCTCTTTGGCATATAATACCTTTTCTATTAGCCTTCTGAAATGTTCATCTGATTTCCCATATTTAACAAATGTTAAATTTCCTGTTAAATGAGTAATAAAATGTATATACTTACTGCAAAAGAATTTAACTCCACATGATGACTGCCTAAATCGATTTAAATCATTGAAGAGGTCTACTTTGACAACTACATTGATTTCCCCACGGATACCTATAAATTCAAAACGAAAATCAAATTTCTACCTTAAAAAAAATAATGTGCGATTAAATAATGAAGCAAATACATGCGAATTAATGGTTTTAAAATAATGTATCAATCATAATAGTAATGCTAACTTAGTCTCCTAATTATTTTCATTCTCACTAGTTTTCTTATTATATTTTCTGATGCAGAACATGAATGCATTAGGGAATGAATAATTTTCAATTTACCACAAATCACCACTAATGTGAACCAAGACTAACTGAAAAAGAGCACCATTTAAAGTGATGATGATAACAGTTGCTGAGCACTGATATACAATGTACTAAATGTTTTATATACAGCATCTCACAGTGCTTACTTACATCAACCCAATAAAATAATTTTTGCAGTAGTATCATCACAATTTTAAAGAGGAAGAAATTAATATTTAATTAATAAAAGTTAAACAATTTATGTAGTGTCAACAGCTACTAAGTAGCAGAGCAGGGATTAAAAATCAGATCTTTATGATCCCAGAGTACATATTCTAAACAATTTATGGAAGGATCTGATTTAATATAAAAGTTTTATTCATTTCAATGAATAGGTTAAAACAAGCTAACTAAACATTTACTAGATATTTTCACTTGACTGTCTGACTTCATGTCAAATTCATATTCATACTTATGGTGGAAGACTTTCTAAGAAAAGTGACTTACCTATTGAAAAATAAGAGATTATGTTCCTAACAAAGAGCCCATAGCATACTAAACCAACTATAAACAATGTTTAATATCAAATATTTGAAAAATTCATTCATTCATAGCTATTGGCCTTTAACCCAGGCCCGGATTAATCCTTCAGCATCTATTTTTTTTTTTCCTACTGGTAACATAACATTTGACTGGATTTTATTTCCTGATTACAAAGATAATATGTATACATTGTAGGAAATACAGAAAAAGTCAAAAAAGGACAAAGTAGAAAAATATAATTATAATCCAGAAATGAAACAATCCAGGGATAAACATTTTATTATGTATTCTGCCAATTTCTCTAATGATATCACACATACACAGTTGTTTTGTTTCTAAACAAATCTGAGATCACCACAAAACACTATAGTGTTTTATAACCTGAACTTTGCAATTCATAATATATCATGCACATTTCCTATGACATTGTTTTCTGAAAATATGCTTTTTTATTCTGACAGTATAATTCAGATTCTATATATGCCCTAATTTATTTCAGTAAATCCTGTTTTTCAATTTTTTTATACCATTTTAAACATTAGTAATAGGAAATAATGTCACAATAAACATATGTAAATCTCAGAAAACATCTTATTTTCTGATAATAAACTACTATCAGTGTAATTGCCACATCAAAAATTAAAAAAAAAAAAAATGCAGAAAGATGCTAGGCTGGAGAGAGAAGTGCCAGTTCTGAATGGGTCAGTTCACCATTCTAAAAAGACATTATACATTTTGGCTAGCAGTTCTCAAATTTTTTGGTCACAGGACCCCTTTACAATCTTAAAAATGATTAAGAAATTCAAAGGGTTTTTGTTAATGTGGATCATACCTACCAATATTTACCATATTAAAAATTAAAGTTGAGAATTAAAAAAAAGTTTTACTAATTACTTCTTTTAAAGTTATAATAATAAACTCATGTATGTTAACATAAGCAACTTTTTAATAAAAATAACTATATTTTCAAAAACAAAAAAATTAGTAATAAGAGTAGCACTGTGTTACATTTTTGCAAATCTCTATAATGTCTAGTAAATGAAACACAGATTCTCATTTCTGCTCTGCATTCAATGTGTGGTAGCAGCATATATCATGAAACCTCTAGAAAACTCTATTGTACACTTGTGAGAAAGTGAGAATAAAAATAGTGAATGATTAAAAACAGTTCCCAAGTCACAGACCCTTTGAAAGGATTTCAAGGACCCTACATGTTCCCAGACCATACTTTGAAAACCCTGCTTCAGTCAACAAAAAATTGGAAGAATTTTTAAGCAAAAAATTTCAATATTATCAGTTTAAAAACGTGTTTTAAAAACACAGAGTACCAATACTAGATGATTTTTAAATAATGCACTTATCTTCCATATTGCAATACTTTAACAGGCAATATTTCAAATTCTGTTCAGAAAAGTAACAATTCTACCAACAACAGTTTACTACTTACTACTTGTCTATTTTTAAAAAGGCATCTTTTAAAGATATATATTTTTAAAACCACCAAATACAGCACAAAAGTCTTGAAGAGGAAATAAAAAATATTAAGATTGTGATTTATTTTCTTAAAATACTACTCCTTACCATGTATGGTGTCATAAATTGGAAACCATCCAGAGATGACTGTTGCAGCTTCACTGTATAGTAAAGGATCAATATCAATATACACTTTACCAATGGCATCATTTGCACTATAAGTATCATGGTCAAGAACTGTGATCTGTAGAGGTTCATCCTGTAAGTCTTCATCATCCACCTAAAAGTACACCTTAAAATTAAATCTTATAGTTTTAAAATATTAATTACTACAAATGTATACACATACCAAACAAAAAAAATGACTTATTTCTGGAAAAAAAAGTAATCTTACAGCTTTATCTCTAAGCACAAAGGTAGAGGGATTAACGCACACACAAGTTATAAATCCTTTTTCTACACAAGATTACATCTTTCTGAAGAAAAGAGTATAGTTTGCCTCCAAGCACAATGGTAGGATGAATAACACAAAAAGCCTTAACTCTGTTTTTAACATATCATCCTATGTGTTATTACTCTGCCTATGATATATAGCAAAAATGCGTCAGGAATGTCATAATAGAGTCCATATATTATCTGCAGACAGAAAGGATGCTAATGAGAACAATGACACCATAATTTCCTAGGACAATTTCAGAGAATAAAACTGAAAGCAAAGCTAACACTGTGTAAAAAAAAAAAAAAAAAAAAAATTCAGGAATGTCATAATAGAGTCCATATATTATCTGCAGACAGAAAGGATGCTAATGAGAACAATGACACCATAATTTCCTAGGACGATTTCAGAGAATAAAACTGAAAGCAAAGCTAACACTGTGTAAAAAAAAAAAAAAAAAAAAAACAATTTAAGTTCATGAATTAAGTTCATGAAATCAGTGTCTATCCTCTCTTTTTATTCAGTCACTATCAAGAATTTATCACATGCCAAGCAGAGGGACTACAATGGAGAACAAGGCAAAAAAGTTTTCTCCCTCATGGAAGACACATTCACTATTTTGGCTGCCACCCTCAATATGCCATCCTCTAATGTGTCAGTACCCCTCATCAAATACAGTATCAAGTGAAACACATAAATAGTAATAAGACTCGTAGAGAATACAAAAAGATTATTATTTCTTATAATTAGAATATTATATTTGTTAAATGCAATGTATGAATGTTTGCTTTTACATCAGACATACCATACTGATTGCATCTGTGGTTGACTCAAATCTCTGCATCATTCTTACATGCTTTAGTCAAGTGATATCTCTACAATCCCTAAACTGTGGCTAATTTTCTAAACTTAAATATGACACACTATGCCTTTCCCTATCCCCTGTCTAATTTCATGTTGATTTTAGGTTAGTAATCCAGCCTCTGACGATTGTTTTAAGAATTAAAGTACATTAAGGTATTATTGTTGACACTACTGGTATAATTATGTGGTTTGAGGTTTTGTTTTTTTAAAAAAGAGTCCTTCTCTATAAGAGATACATAATTAGGAATTTATTGATGAAATTATATAACATCTTGAATTTGCCTTAAAATATTTCCAGAGCAGGGGGGGAGGGGTGTCGACCAGGGGAAGAGGGGAAACATAGAACAAGAACAGCAGAATGTAGAAGTGGGTAACCAACAGGGAGTTCAATATACTAATCTCTCTACTTTTGTGCATGTTTAAATATTTCCATAACAAAATGTTAAATTAAAATGATCATTTTGAATCCCAATCCATTCTGAATCATCTGTCACTCAATGGCATTCTCTCTACGACTACTGTGTTATCTATATATTTAGTAAAAGGGAAAGAGTCATAAACCAAGCCATTGACCATTCCTCCAAATACTCTCAATTTCTAACTCCATTAATAAGACTCTCTGTGAACACTTTTTTAACCACCTATACATTCACCTGTGAGTACTATCATCTTTTCTCATGGTACATTAAGGTATCCCTTCCCTGACATTAAAGGACTCCATATCAACTGACTAGAAATAGCTTGTCATATGTATAGATAGCTAATAATTTGAATAATCTGAACAGAGCAATTCAGGAATTAATTATAATGAAGTAATTAAGGATAATTAATGGATTAAATTGAGCCAATTTCAAATTATGAAATATTATAAATTAAGACTTTATCAGAAATGCTTTAAATGTTTAAACTTTTTAGCTGCATAGCAATATGACTTCCCTTGCAACTGATGAGATATAAGCATAAATCATTCCATTAAGCTTGGTAGGGTGGGGAAAACTTAAAGAGAGCTTGCTCGATTGAAAATTATGTTACCTCACTGTTACCCTCCTGTACTTCCCTTCACTACAGCTCCTTCTGCCAGTGTAGAACACTAATGGGATCACTGGAACTCCAGCTGCTAACCTGGAGCCTAAAGTGACCTGGGTCACTTTAAAGACAAGCCCAAGCCACATACAGATGATGGAGAAAAAAGGTCCCTGGGTCCCAAATGATTGCATGGAGCCACATACTACCCTTATACTGCCTGGCTCAACGTTTCTTTCATATGTGAGAAAAACAGATATTTTGCTTAAGACATTTATTTGAGTGTTCACAACATATATGACTGAATACAATTCATAACTATCAACAGGGTTAACAAAGAACTATATAACCAATGTTGACTATAAACACAGAATTAATATTCAGAATATATAAAGAACTTCTACAACTCTTTGGATCCTCTTTCCAGACAGCTGTCAAAAAATAAAAAATAAATTTAAAAAAAACCTACAGATCAACAACAAAAAAATAAATAACCCAACTGAAAAATAAACAAAATGTGGTATATACGTACAATGGAGTATTATTCAGCCAAAAAAAGGAATAAAATTTTGATACATGTTACAACATGGATGAACCTTGTAAATATTATGCTAAGTGAAAGGAGACTGATAAAAAATAACAACTACTGTATGATTCTACTTATATGAAATACCTAGCATAAGCACATTCAAAGGGACATTAAGTAGATTCCAGGTTACCAGATCTGAGGAGAGAAGGGAAAGGGGAGTTACTGCTCAGTGGATACAAAGTTTCTGTTTAGGGTAAGAAAAAAGTTTTGAAAATATTGGTGATGTTTGCACAGCATTGTGAATGTAATTAATGCTGATTGCACACTTAAAAATAGCTAAAATGGGGGCCAGCCCGGTGACGCACTGCTACAGTGCGCCGCTTGAGAGCGTGGCGGCGCTCCCGCCGAGGGTTCAGATCCCACATACAGACCGGTTCCCGCTCACTGGCTGAGCGAGGTGCGGGCGCACCGCCGAGGGTTGCGATCCCGTTGCCGGTCCCGGTCCGGTACGGGCGCGACACTGAGGGTTGCGATCCGT